CCTTTTAGCTTCCCTTTAAACCCCCAAAAAAACCAACCTCCAAAACCCCACCCGAAAACCGACACCCTCAATCACCCACACCCATGGTACCCTCAACATCTCAGATGCCCAGTGGATTTCCATGGGAGAAAAAAGGGCATCCTTTTTGGTTGGTTGAGTTTTAAGGGGAACCCTTCCCACAAAAAAAATGAGTTGAAAAACGGCCCACTTTCCATGGGAGAAAGAAGGGCATCCTTTTTGGTTGGTTGAGTTTAAAGGGGAACCCTTCCAACAAAAAAAACGAGTTGAAAAACCGCCCACCACTGGGCCACCGGGAAACGCTACAGGCCTCTGAAGCGCAGCGAGCAGCACCAACAAGGCGCCCAGGGCCCTCAGCAGCGTCACGGGACGGCCAGGGGACATCAGGCCCAGCGCGTCCACGAAGAGACCACCAGTCACCTGCGGGTCACGGGTCAAAACCAAATGAGGTGGCTGAAGCCACCAAAGGTGGATGTACTGTTCTGTGCCAGGATCTTCAATTTGGCCATGGGTCAAAACCTTGTACCCTCAGTCATCCCAATCCCCAAAAAAGACTAAAATGGGTGATGCACCTACCCCAAAAGGGATCCCAAAACGGCTTTGACCCACCCGTCACCTCCCAAGCAAATCCCGAGACTTTCTCATCCGAAAGCTGCGACATGCGAAGAAAAGCTCGGAAAGACTGACATCCAAGCGCTGTCAGGGAATTCCGTCCTTGCAATGAGCGGTTCATGGGCCTGGAGGAGGCCCCCGACGATATGTTTTACTGAAGGGAGCGATTGAGTTTGGCAAACGGACGGGAAGTCTTTGAACTCTAGTGCACTCGTGGAAACTTCCACTTCCGGCTCTGAGGGCATATTTCACGATTTGTCAACTAGCTTTCCGTTTCTGAACGCCACGCAGCATCCTTACCAACAAACTTCTTGCCCGAAAACGCAAATCGCAACGAAAAACCTGAGTCTGAACTCCAGAAGGCTAGAGTCAAGCCACCAACTTTTTTCAGGAACACATCAACAACCACTACGCGCCCCCTTTTGGTGATCACGCAGGACCGAAACCTGAATCGACCTTTTCTGGACCCAGTCTAGACCAAGCGCCGCACCTTCCCTGCCACAATGAGACAGAACGTGCGAGCGAAGCCGATGCGTGGGGGCACAAAGGTCACCACTAAGGTCACCCACATCCCAGCCTCGGCTTGCGCGCACGAGTTCACTGGCCGAAGAAAAACCCAAGCTTTAGCTACTGCCTCACTTCCTGAGCGCAAAAAGGACCCTCGTTCTTTTGGCTTGGCACCAGAATCGTCGTCCCAAAAAGCAAGAAAGCCACGAAACTCGGGGGTGAGCAAAATAGCACCAGCTGATCACTGTACCAAGAACGCTGATATTCACAACATGCTCAGGGCTGACACTGGGAGGGCCTTTAGGCACTGGGCTGAGCATACACAATCTAACTCGCGTCATTTCAGGCGCCTAGCCCCGCCCTTGCATCCTGAGCAACATCACACCAGACTCGATCACTGTACCCGCCTCAAAACACACAAGCAAACATTCAAAATGGCCACGCCACAGCAACCATGCCGGGTTCAAAAATACATGCGTGAAAAGCAACCCGGGCGCATGAACAAAGTTGACTTCAAAGGACTTTAGGTGACTTTAAGTGACTTGAGGATGGCTTCTGCAGTGGCTTCTGCGGTGGATGTAGCATGCGCCCTTTCTGAGCCTCTGCTGGCACAGGGTTTGGTTTTGCTGAGTTGAGGGTTGGTGTCGGACAATTATGCGCGGATAATTCCAGCTGAGTCTTGGCTTAGAGCAAGCAAAGGCCAGTGTTTACCATTTGTGGATCGAACCAGTATATGTTTAAAATGTGCTTTGTTCAAAGTTCCGCACCTCTGCCGGCTCTACGCTAGAAATCAGCAGGCATCTGCTTTGTGCGGACAAACTCATCCAATTGCCGCACATTCCGAGCAACAAAAAGCAGAGCCATGAGACCTCACTGCAGACAAGCAGCAAAGCCGACCACTGCCCATAGCATGAGGGTCGTAGGCCTTGTATCTTCCTGGGAGCCAAAGCCATGGATGTCAGCCGGCTGACTCCGATGCGCGTCGAAACTCAGTGGCAAAACTGGTTTGCGTAGCTTCCAGTCGCTTGCACGGGAACCTGTTGGCATACAGAAGAGCCACACCTTTCTGACATGAGGTTAGATTCTTCGCCTGGGAGGCCAGTTTCGATCCACTTCTGCGGCAGGTTTCGTCTCTCAACAAACGAACGCCTTTGAGAAGCAAGCATCTTGCATGGAGCTCACTAAATCAAAGCAGAAAAGCGCTTGCGATGCTGCCCTTAGCCCCGCTGTTGCCGCCAACCGCCAGACCAACAACGCAATCTACATCTCTGCTCAGAATGACCATGCCTATTGAAAGTCGCAGCCTTCGTGGGCAAAGCAACCCATAGCCATCCCCATCCGGAGCAATGCTCCCCTTTCTCAGCGGATGTGTTTGTTGGTTGCTTCACCCAAACCCCTCCTGGAAATGGAAGAATCCAAAAACCTCCACCGTCACACAAATGACCACATTGCCCAACGACGCCATGAAGGCCGACCTTGGCATCCGCAGCATGCACCTCTGAACAGCTGCCCTGAATTCATGCAAGTTACAAGATTCCATGTGATTTGTTGTTCGGGCATGGTCTAAAATGAGGAAGACACTTAATAACAGAAACATTGAAACTTGCCAACTCAACATGTACTGTAGGTTGGTGGCATCTAGCGGACTCGCCCTTTTTGCAGAACATTGCCGCTAAATGCAGCTCGGAGCAGCCAGGCACTGGCATTCAACGGCCCGATGTGCTCTCGGAGATGGGTGTTTCCCACAGAGTTCAGGACTAAACCTGGGTGCGGCATGCCAGCCCAAAGAGCTTATCATATCCAAACCAAAACAATCAAGCCACGACAAGCGTGGACTGTTTGGTCTGTGCGACTGGCCCGGTGCAACTTGCTGTAGCGGTGGGAAGCATCTTATGCTTTCCGCAAAACGTATTCTCAACGCCAAATGTTTCTTGCGGAGGGTTTCATTTGGGCTGCACCACACGCCATTTTGGTTGCGCTGCCTCGTGTTTGTACTAAGCCGCTTTCGAGTGCGCCTGGGCCTACGACACTTGCGACGCTTTGAGCCGCGACGTTGCGTTTCTCTTGCGCCGTGAACTTGGAAAGAGGTGAAGCGTGCCCTCTTCGGACTGGCGTTGCAAGAAAGCTCTGAGACTCTGGGCCCGATCATGCACAGAGACCTGGCAAAGATTCACTTTCCTTTTCTGTGGAGGGAATTTTGCAAAGACCCTCCAAACAGGTCCAGTGCACAAAGGCCCGTCAAACAAGTCTACTGTTTGGCTTTTGTAGCCAGAGCGCCTCAGTACAGCAAGAGATCTCGCGCAAAGAGCTTGCAAAGAGCCTGTGGAAGAGATCTTGCAAAACAGATTTGGTGGGAATCCATGCCAGAGGTCTTGCCAGCTGCTGCTGCAGCTGCTGTAACGATAAGGATGCGCCGAAATGGGGTCGCCGAGCAATCGCACTATCCACAGGTCATGGAGATGCTGGGGCTCTCTCGGAGTTGCCTAGTGTAAAATGCTTGCAAAGGCTTCAGAAAAGGAGAGCTTGCGCAAAAAAAATGCAGGGCTTCACGGATCTTGTGGCGACATTGCGCATGGCTGATAAATGCAGGGCTTCACAGATCTTGTGGCGACATTGCATATGGCTGATAAATGCAGGGCTTCACAGATCTTGTGGCCACATTGCGTATGGCTGATAAATGAAGGGCTTCACAGATCTTGTGGCGACATTGCGTATGGCTGATATGCTCCGACTTCCACTGCAAGCAAACAAGGCGTTTGAGGGTCAGCTGAGATCATTCAGCGAGCTGCCGGGGATCGGCCAAGACCTGAACTCCCAATGCGTTGTGAAACGCTTCGTGTTCAGCGCAGGGGGGAATTGAAAGAGAAGGCATGACTGAAATTCGGGGCGACGATATGCATGCTGGCCTGCCCACTGCTTCAACACAGCAACTCGTCGCTCGCCTGCGTGTTTTCTCAAAAACAAAAAAACACGCCTGAAAAAAGGAAAAAAAAAGCAAGTTCCCTTTTTGGTTTGAACTCAGCTATGAACCCCATTTTGACACAGGCAACAACTCTGCTGTCTGAAGCGAGAGCATGCGCCGCAGAAGAAGGCACCCAAGGCCACCAGGAAAAAGTGGAAGCCAGCGGCCTCATTCAGCCGAGGTGTCGATCCTGGGTGTTGAACAGGGGGTCTGGCATGGAAGAGGCTGAACACCAATCCTGAATGGACTGGATTCTGCTCGACCGCACAAAATCAACGAATTACTTTTGTTCCCCTTTGGCAAAAGTGCAGAAATTGTGGGCTATGTAGCAGCCGGCAAAACTAGAACAACATGCCAGGGGTTTTAGATGTTCACACCTCTCAGCCTTCAGACCAGAAGTCGCTGTCATGGTTGATTTCAACGGACGCCTGCAACTGGATTTCATTCTGCCACGGCTCAAAAACAGTGCCACACTTGGGGAAGTTGACAGAGCTACTACTGCTCGTGACCGAGCGACGCAAGGCATCGCAGGTGTTCCTAACGTCGTACATTACAATCAAATAATAAAACAAAGGCAACAATACAACTAGCTTCGCCACTCAAAAAATACAACACGCCGACACCGGTGAAACATAATCATAATTGAAAGCTGCTCCGGGCACGTTGAGCAAATACCTGCACACCCGCCTGTGTGAACTGGACGCTGATGAGCTCCTGCGCTAAGCTGACAGTGACACCTGGCAACACCCGGCCGCAGCAAGCATTGCCCTTGTCGGAATGAGCGCGTGCTTCTGCTTTCGGTCGGGGCGCCCAAATTGGAATACAAGCTCAGTGGGCGAGCATATGAACAACACGCAACACCTTCCGGCTGCCTCGACAAAACTGAGTGCAGCTGCCTGGCCTAGCAGCGCCAAAGCTGGCGAAAGCAAGACTTGCAGCCACCCATGCTCCTTCGGCACCCTTAGGTGCTGTGATACTCGCTTGAAAACCCTGCACTCACGCGGACATGGAAGCCGGCCACCCTTACAACTCTTTCACTGCGCGTCAGTGAGGCCGCTGGCGAGATAAAGGGGTCACCAAGCAGATCTGCCAAGCAGCGGCGACTTGTCTTGGTGGGCATCAGCAAGCCTGCCGGCACTGCAGGCAGGCGAAGCGTATGAACCAATTCAATGGCGGAAGATGAGCTGGAGAATTGAAGGCGCAGGAGTTGCATGTTCATCAGGGAGGATTCCTTTTGGTTTTATGCTTTTCGCCCAAGCAAAGACACACAACGACACGCACACACACACAACCGAGAACAAACTCAGTCACAAACACAAACACACACACACAAACAAACAAACAAACAAACAAGCAAACAAGCAAACAAACAGGCAAACAATCACAAACACAAACACAAAAACACAAACACACAAACATGCAAATCGCACAAACGAGCACACACACAAGCACAGGCAAACACAAAGGCACACATACAAAGACACACACGCAAACCAAGGAAAGAAAGAAACAAAGAAAGAAACAAAGAAAGAAATAAACCAAAAAAGACATAAACACACCCACACGCACAAACACACCCGCACCCACACACCCACACACAAACACATAAAATGTACACACACACAAACACACGCACAAATGCACACACGCACACACAAAGACACACACACAAACAACCAAACACAACCCCACAAGCAAACACGCGCGAACCCACATGCGCGCACAAACGCATGCACAAATGCACACGCAACCCACCACAACCACGCACACACACACATGCACACACGCACGTCTGCATTGACAGAAAAACAAATCACAAACACGCAGCCATACACGCACAAACACAAACACACGCACACACACAAACACACACACACAAACACAATCACATAAACACACGCGTACACACACACACACCAACACACAAAAGCGCAAACACACAAACACACTCACTCACTCACACACACACACACCAACACACAAAAGCGCAAACGCACAAACACGCACACACAAACACACACACATACACAACAAACACACACACACATACAAACACACAAACAAACAAACACACAAACACACAAGCACGCAAACACACACTCACACCCACACGCGCGCACACACACACACACACGCAAACACACACACACACACCCACACCCACACCCACGCACACGCACACGCGCACGCACACGCACACGCACACCCACACACACACACACACACAAACGCACACGCACACGCAAACGCACACGCACACGCACACCCACACCCACACACACACAAACGCACACACACACACACACGCACATGCGCACATCTATACTTACAGAACACACACACAATCACAAACACGCAAACATACACACGCACACACAAACAAAATCACACACGCACACACGCACACACATAACACAAACACAAACACACAAACACACGCGCACACACACACACAAACGCACAAAAACACAGACACACACACACAAACATACAAATACACAAGCACGCAAACACACAAACACACACGCTCCCTCACCCACACGCACACACACACTCACACCCACACGCGCATGCAAACACACACGCAAAGCGCACACACACACACAAACACACATGCACAAACGCCCCAACCTCTCTCTGGTTCCAAATTAGGGTGTCTTTTTTGTGGACCCCCCCATTTTTTTGGGGGGGTTTTCCTCTCCAAAAAAACGGCCGTTGCCGGCGGACACCGTTTTTCCCCACGTCCGAAAAAGTCGTCCGAGGCGCACGGCGGTGCTGAGCTCGCCACCGAGCACCAGCACCTGCGCCAGCGCGGCGCCCAGCGAGTGCGCTGCGGAGACCAGGAAGAGGGTGGAAGTCCAGCCCAGGCCCATCTGCCGACCGGAAAGGAGCCGGGGACCCGAAAGGAACTGGTGAGTTCACCCAGCCGCAAATTTGTCCCCACCTGGGAGGAAAAAAGAAGGCAAACACATAAATTGGGTGGCGCTTTTGAGGGTCTTTTTAAGAACCCCTTGTGTATATACACATAGATATATATATATATATACATATTACGTCCTGTTGAAAAGACATAGTGCGGAAAAGCCCCTTGTTGGCTGCATGCAAAAGGAAAATCAAGGATACCAACCATTTTTTTGGGGACCACTATTTTGAGAAACACACGTTGAGGTGAGGGATATCGACCCCCAAAAGAATGGATTTCGGTATTGCTTCCGGTTCCCCCATATCACCCCATGTTGCATTTGGTTTCTATAAACCATGGGGACATCTGAAGGTTTTTGCGAAGATACCCTTTTGGGGTTGGTTCCAAGGGAAACGGAAAGCAAGCCGACTCTGATGCCCAAAGGCAACCTTTGTCTTACTGCCTTCTCTGCTGACAAAGTGGGCATCGGCAAACAAAACATATCCGATGGGCCCGCTTGGTCCTTTCTGACGCTTCAGGCATATAAGACCAAAAACAACCGCACAAGCAAAGCACGCCAAATGACAACTGAGAAAAGTCTGAAGCACGCTTCCAAGGCAAGCATATGATGTAGTTTGAGTTAAACAAAAAACACCGCCTCCTTTCAAAACAAAGATCACAACAAAATCAAAAATAATCAAAGCAAAACACTGGGGACACATGCTGGTTTTTTTTGGGGGGGGAGCTCCGGTTTTGGGACCAGAACTGGGTGCCTGCAAGGAGGTCCAAAAGCAAACCACATTCCAGCATACATGTTCAAGTAGGGAGTTGAAACAGGTTCAACGATGCACTTGTTTCGCTTCTTTTGTCCTGGTTTGGACTTGCTTTGCAACTGGCTTGAGGCGGGCCCTAATCCGACTTTGGACCTGGCGGGACATTCTGGCAGTTTAGAATTGGTTTCGTATTTGTCAATTCTAGTTGTTGTATCGGATTTGGAGCCTTGGTAAAGAAAGTCAATGTTTTGTTATCAGGGGGCCTTCCAAATTTGGGGGAACAATTCGCCCGCCAAAGCTGCCAAGAAGCAATCCAGGCTAGCTTCCAGGGAACGCCTCGCCTTGGAATCAGCGGCCTCCGCCCATCTCAAATCTCGACTTCGACTTTAAGCCGGCAACAGTGCTATCTACAGGGCTCCCTATATTTCCCCTTAAAGCATCACCCCCACCAAGGGATACTCACCTTTCATGGGCCAAAAAGGTGATGTTTAAAGCCACCAACAAGGGAAATATAGGGACCCCTGATCTATCTCAGCAAATTACGATATAATTCCCAAAGTCTGTAATAATACACTTCAACCGAAGTCGGAAACCGAAACCTAATCCTCCGCTGGCTTGCTGGGATTTGCATTGGTGAAACAATCAATGCATCCGCAAGGTGGAAGCAATGGGCGTCTCCTACGTGTTGAGCGAGATAGCGCGCTGAGGCTTCCGCTCTGCAACTTGAGTCACGCGAGTTAGCCAAGCGGCGCCTTCTGCAGTAGCGCGCTTGGCCGCAAGCCTATGCGCCAGTTGTCCTTGGCAGAGATTGTGGAGCTGCACCACTGGTAAACCACTGTTTGCTAGTATTTACAAGGCAATCATTATTCCCGGGCTTCTTTGGTGGTGCAGGCTTTCGTCAGTATGGCCTGGACGGTCTGCCAAGGGTGTCCCAAGCTTGTCACACGCCCCGCAGCAGAAACAGCGGCAGAGCGCCCATGCCTTGGCAGTTTCAGGCTGTAAGATTTTCTTCGGAGACCCTGATGCATTGACTCAAGCCGGGGCAAAACGTGAGCAATTGGCTAAGAATGCCCTCAAGCCACCCTCTTGGCTTCATGACTTTTTGGTGGTGACTGTCTAGCTCCGAGGCTCGATACTGGCAGCGAACATCAGAATCAGCCAAGCGAATATGTGGGAGATGGCCGTCGTGAAGACAGCGCCACCGTGACGTGGCACCAGCTTCGCATTGGCCACCACCCTGGGAGGAACGCTACAGACAGTTGCCCAATTTGCAGTGAGAAACAGCGGTTTCAACACAAACACATTGTGGTGAGCCGGTACTAAACTGAGGGGGTGCGTGGTCAGTGCGCAGATCACCACAGTGCCCGATGCCCTAAGCTGCTCACCAAGCCGTGCTTGTCCATCCTGGGCCATCGCAGCAAACTGGACTGATGAAACAGCTTCCAGTAACGAAGACACAAGGAGCCAGCTGCCTGTTTAGCTAGTCCGGCTTGACTGTGGTGGAGCACCATGCAAAAACGGTCACACAGCAGCACTTGTTTTTTACGCACACTTGGCTTGACACCCCGCCGCCAAAACCATCTCACAACCCACTTCCAAAGACGTGTCCTTGCTTTACAAGCTTGCCCAGGCTTTGAGGAGAAGTGAAGAAAGCCTTCTCTAGGGGACACTTCCCCATTCTTTCCAGGGATCCTTCTTTCCAGAAAACCATCAGAACCCCAGGGGAAACAGCTGGTTGTTAAAAAGAACGATGGTTGAAAAGAATGGGGAATCAACCCCTAGACCTTCCCTTTATGCCGCAGCGCGGAAAACTCCCGCCTTGCAAGAAAGCGCAGGCCGCAAATAAAACATCAGGCATTCGCCGTACGCCTAGCGGAATGAACAAGCTGTTCACGGCGCCTGCAAAAAACAAAGTGGGCATCTCGGACATCCCGCCCTTGAATCCCATTCACCCATCCCTTCACTTACTCACTGCAAGAGTAGTGAGATATGGATATATATATATATACAGATGTATATACATGCGTATAGGGGCGTATATGTATGTAACGATAAATACAGTATCTCTCTCTCTCTCTCTCTCCTTCTTATGCCTCTGGCTGGGGCCGTTCTGTCCTGTGTGGGTTGCAACTGTCCAGTGTTCCAAGCAACCCAAGCCAAGGAATGCGCCACCTTACAAGCCTTAACCAACAAGCGCAAAGTACCTGAGCACGGCACTTCTGGACCCAAACCCTGGTTGCAGCTTGACACCCGTCCGCCAAGTGGCGCAATGAACAAGTTTCTTCCTCTTTAACCTGTGCAAAACATGCAAGAAAAATCAGGTGGCCATCATTTCCGGGCTCCAGGCTTGTGGCCGGCGGCTTGGCATATGCAGCGCTTGCAGTTCTTTTGCACCTTTTGGGGAGTGGTTGGCAAGCTTGCAGGTGCTGAATATTGTCATGCGTGTTCCCAGTTGGGGCGGGGACAACGGCATGCTTGCTTTGTGGAATGTTCTGGGGATTGCCTTGCTAGCAAACCACGGCATGTGTGCAGTCAGTTCCTAGGTGTGATTGCTATGCGGCGAGCTCAAGCTTTTCGAGCCCGCCACAGCAAGTGGAAAATAGACTGCTACAATACAGGGGCACTGTCAATAGCGACACGGCTAGCACAGCCGTGTCGCTGTTCCGCATGCACCCCTGCACAGTGACCTTCAATGTGCTCCAGTCCGCGCACTTACTGTTTTGCTCAACTGGAACCTATGTAGCCCTAGATGCTGTGATTCACAAGGCAAATGATTCTGGAGCTGTGGGCTGACTGGCCCCTCCAATTGCAGATAGGCGGAAGACATCTTTTTCCGAGACGCAAAGCTCGTCGTCGAAAACTGAGTGATCTTGAAGTCTTGCAAGCGTAGCAAGGCACGGACCTCTTTGTCTTTGATCGTTATTGACCATCTGCAAAGGCAAAACAAGTGCCTTCCAGACTTGTGGTTGGGACAGGCTGAAGCAATCAGGGCCACCCAATGCATTGAGGTCGTACACCGTTCAAGAAGAAACGGCTCTCCAAGAGCCCCTGTGAAAATTATTGCATATGCAGCTTCGGACAATCTGCGACGGGCCACCTGGAAGATTGAACTATTCAAGGGACCATTTGCTTGTCAGCAAGCATGTGAGGAGAAAGGGAACCTTTGCAATCTGGGGATGCAAATTAATCAGCCACTTTGCGCCCAAATCGCAAAGCCGCCGGAAGCTGCGAATTGATCCAGTTGTCATAACCTCTGCATCAACGCGAGGGGGTATCTCTCTCAGCACGCGAGTGGAGCAGCAGCGCTGGAACAAACTCTCTGGCTAGCCAGCCAAGCGAATAAAACATCTAAATGTGGAGAAGGGTGCCCTGGTAAAATGCCAAGAACAGCCTATAGCAAGCTACTTGCAGCCTCATTGACTTGTTGTACTCGTTTGCTCTTTCCTTCTTTCTCTGTCTCTGCATCTCGGATTCCCTTTGAGCTTGGGCCCATGCACAACAACATGAACTGAGAGCATTCTGGTTGCGTTGGCCTTGGACAGGATAGCTCACAACAGCCAACTGATTTGACTAGACTTGAAGTGGAAAGCTCCCGCATTTGCTCCGGCTCAGCTCACGCAGGCGGTGAGAAAATGGCCAGGACCAAATCCTGGGTGATGCAACGGGGAAGCAACAATAAAGCAAGGCAAAAACAGCAACAACAGCAGCCGAGACTAGCAGCTGCGGCGGAGCTGGTGACAGGGGCGACAACAGGCAACACCACCCACCCACCCACCCACCCACCCACCCACCCACCCACCCACCCACCCACCCACCCACCCACCCACCCACCCACCCACCCACCCACCCACCCACCCACCCCCCCACCACCACCCCCACCACCCCCCCACCCACCCACCCACCCCACCCACCCACCCACCCACCGCCACCCACCCACCCCCACCCACCCCCCCACCCACCCCACCCCCCCACCCACCCCACCCCCCCACCCACCCACCCCCACCCCACCCACCCACCCACCACACCCCCACCCCCCCACCCACCCCACCCACCCCCACCCACCCACCCCACCCCACCCACCACCACCCACCACCACCCACCCACCCACCCACACCCACCCACCCACCCACCCCTGACCCCACCCACCCCACCCACCCACCCCCACCCCACCCACCCACCCACCCACCCACCCACCCACCCACCCACCCACCCACCCACCCACCCACCACCAGACATGACAGACATGACAGACATGATAGACATGACAGACATGATAGACATGACAGACATTATAGACATGATAGACATGATAGAAATGACAGAAACTGGGTGCAGGATCAGCATATGCTCGCCCATCTTGAGCTCACTTGGGGGTGAAGCAGCGCAAACCCAAGCTGGTGTTGAGTAGCTGGAGCGATGGTCCAAGATTGAAAAGAGGTCTGTGCCGTTTGGACCGTTTGCTGGTGAGCAAAATGTAGATGCAATCAAATGAAGGCCAACTGTGATGTGGGCGTTCATGCAAAAACAAGAATGCACAATCGATAATCCATGTCATCCAAGTAGAGGAAACACAATTGAATCTGAGCTTGCAATGCCCGCAGCACCGACGGCATCTGATGGCTATGTCTGTCAAGCATTGTTGTGCAAACGCTGCATTCTTCCGGTCCATGTGTCATTTTCAATATGATAGTATGATTGTTTATTTGTTGCTGATACGCGTGGGCCCAAATACTCGAACGGCAAACATGCCCACAATCTTCACTTGGTTGCTGTTGACCCCGCCACTTTTTGGGGGTTTACTGGAAAACCCCTTGATTTCCCAAAAAGTTAAAGTCTAAAGATCCAACCTAATAGCAGTCAAGTTCATAGGATGTAGGAGATCTCAACTTGTTCCATTCACGCAAATTCTCAACGTCAGGTGCCCTGCAAGCCTTGAAGCCTGACCTCACAGAGAAGCGAATCCGGGTCAAGGCACGATCTGCTTGGCCACATTGGTGTCCGTTGCCCACTCGGTGAAAAGGCCCAAAGAGAAGCCCGTCATCGCCTCGGAAGCAAGGGCTTCTGGGTATAAATTGGGCCGCTGGTTGACAAATACCCAACCAACGCAAAGCAAACAAAACAAAACGTTTCACCTGCCCAGTCGCTGGCTGTTTCTGGCTCGTTAAAATTAGTCGCCATTAAAAGGGCAAGGAATTTGCGACCTGGGTCTGCAATTGTATGCTTGGAGCCAGTCCTGCCATGTATTCCGCGTTCCGCGCAAAAATGGAATGGCGATGCAATTGCAAAAACTGTACGGACACTTGCTCAGACTACTTGTTGCCAAAAGGGCGATCTCACATTTGAGGCTAGGCGAAGCTTGCTTGTTCTATCGGTATGTCAAAAGCCAGGTGACCCTGTTTGGTTTAGTGGGAGTCAGGGTAGCAGAACACGTGAGTTGCATCGCTGGGAACCCATGCGAAAACAGAGCCCTGGGCCTCTGAGCACGTCCAAGGTAAGCAAGCAAGTAGCAAACCGAGAATGGCGACAGTGCCGTAGTACTTTTACAGTCCCTTTTCTTGACGGTTTCCGAAGCTCCAGCAAAGCTCTGGCCAGGCCAGTGGCAAAAGCAGAAAACATGTGTAGTGCCACACAAACAAATTACATGACATTCCTTGGTTTTGTGGGGGAAATGAAGCTCGAATCATCGAACGTATGGTAATATTATTGGTGCGATTGTTTATGTGTTGCCTCGCATGGGCGTGGGAACACAGATCTTGGTCGTAGGATGTCAACGAGAGATTTCAAATACCCGAAAAGGCCTTTCCATACCATGGGCCCATGGACAATGTGAGATTTCAATCATTTGACCGGAAGGCTGCGGTCCCTGGATATTTCACAAACGTCCACTTCCATGATTGGTATGTCCGTCTTTTTGCCGAAACCCGCCGACTGGTCGCTTCGCCAAGAAGCCGCCCGACCGTTGAAAAGCTCCGCAAGCGGCACCCAGCCAAACCAGGCCTCGAGGATCCCGCCCGAAACAAATAGGTGCCTCTTTTTCTGTGGGACTTGGCGCCCCTTCCATGTTGGCTTAAAGGGATACCAATCCGTTTCGGAGCTGCGCGTGATGGACGGGAGTGCTACTGATGCAATCAAGCTTTGTTCTGCTGATGTGTCTTGTGCTTTCTTTTGTTTGCATTCTGTCCTTTGGAACGGGCACCGCGGAAAGGATCTTTTGGCCAGCACTCAGCTCCCGCAATCTCGCTTTGGGTACCTGTCAAAATGGGGAGAGGGACCTGGACCACTTCCATTGACACATGCGCTGTGCATGTGACATGTAAGGAAAGGAACCGCCCCCCCCGCTCGTCTGCACATTGCACGCAGCCGTGCATGATAACTTCCCATTGCCGTTCTGCGGGAAAGAGACAAGAACAAACACATGGTCTCCTTCCAAACAAAGCTTCTCCTATACACATGTACTTGACCTGTAAGACACATACAAGCAAGCAGGCCTGAGGTGTCAAAGCACACGATGGAACCCCGCAAACCCGCAACCATCCGCCCTCCAAAAAGAAATAATCACAAAAGGATGCCATCTGACGGACCTTCCCTGGCGGAAGACTTCACCAAAGACTTCACTCCAAGCCAGTCTGTGAAGACAAAGTGGCATTCTTGTCGTCCTCCATCTCTGCAAGGACTTTGTCCTGGAGCACTTCAAGTCAGAGGGCACTCTGAAACTGCAGTGCGACGAACGGATTAATGCAAACATGTATGTGCCTCGATCAATTGTGGGCGGACAGCTGAATGACATGTGGTTGCACGCATCTTTCTTGAAATCTCATGGAGTCGCTCCAACAACAACCATTGTCACTGTCAGCATGCCTCAGCGTGGATAGTGCGAGCAAGCAAAAAACACATATTTCGAGTTGTATACATAATTCTAATAACACTATACATACAAAAAGCGAGTAGATATGCCACTGTCCAAGTGGAACTAGTAAAAGGTGGGCTCTGGGGCGCACTATATATATATATATATATCCAACATGAATGCAGGTCCCAAAGATCGCTGCGAGTTCTCGAAGCTCCTCGAAGAACTTCTGAAGCCTCTCTGCCGTGTCTCGCTGGAAGGCCACCGTGACCTCTTGCTCTGCCGGCTGCCCCGGCGGCAAATCGTCCGCGGTGTCCTACGTGAAGTGAGGCAGCGTGAAAGTCATTCAATGGTATGGTTATCCCCCCTTCCATAAGGGGGAGGGGGGTGGGGGGTCCACAATTCCAGTTATCTAGTCTTCCCCTTACAAAGGAAATGGAACTATAAAATGGAATTCCAGGGGTCACCTCCCTCCCCCAAATCCATATTTAAGGGGGTGGGGAGCACTGTTCTCTTTCCCTCCAGGATGGTGCATCTTTGATCCCAGCAACTTACCTCAAGGAAGGTGCAAGGGAAGTTGTGCCATCTTTCACCCCGCAACTGGTCTGCAAATACCGCCAATTCTGATCGCATAAGACCGATTATCACTTCCAGAGAGCAAGCAGCAGCTGGCACGCAACTGCCCTCCGAAATCCGCCAACACTGCCCATCAGTTTTCTCACGGCACAGCCACTGACAAGTCAACTTCATATAATGAATATTCATCTTGGACGCGAAAGCTTCGGCAGGCGGCTGACATGCGACCAGCCGAGGGGTTCCCGACCTAAGCCTGACACAATGGCAGTATCACACAACTGCGCTGGGTGGGTGAGAACTCTCAACAGGTCCCCGCACGTGAGGCTTCGCAAATGGAAGAGTGCCACAAGCACCCCAGAAGCTTCGTCACAATCTGCTCCTCCGTAAGCGCCTGCTTCAGTTTGGCCTCCGCTTCCGCCTGACGCAGGAAAAGCAAGGGTGCACCGTTGCGCCGCGCCTCGAACCTGGCTTCTACCAAACCACATCTGGGATGCCAGCATGGTCAAAGTAGGGCAACTGAAATGCTTCCGCAGGATTCCCTTTCGGTAGCTTGGCCGATGCAAATTTGATTGGAAACCGCACACGCGCAAAAAGAACGAAACAAGCACATGATGCACATACGCACACACACATACACAAACTTGCGCGACCAAATTATTGTGTACACCTGGTGTGTCTCTTACGCCCTCATCTCAACGGGGCCAGTATCATGCAAAGGCTCGCATTTGAGTCCTTCCATGTTGGTCACAAAGCCCAGGGATCAAGCTGAAAGACTTCTCGCCACTTTGCCGAGCCATTCCAAAGTAACACAGCGTCACCGCAACGGTGAGAGCCGCTCTTGATGCCTCGGGCTCTTCCCTGTCTCTCGGCTCGCTGTCTCTCGGACACATGCGCGTTTTGGGGCCCAATAACATACACACACGTGCGTGCGTGCAGGCCAGTAAAACAGCCCCGGCGCGCTGGTAAAACGCAGGCGAGAAGCCACGGTGGGTGGACATTATGCTCCAGCTGGTAGGTCTTTACATGTAGGTGGTTGATACCAGTATTGCTGCTTTGGTGTGGATGGATTCTGTCCATCATGGCTTGAGCGAAGCATTCGCGCCTTCTCCTTCTCAAGCTCCCCGGGCTCCGCCTCGTACTTGCCCTGCGCGGGGAAGAGGGGGGGGTGGCGGGGTCAGCTGTGCAACGCCAGGATTGCAGTTCATTTGCGCGCATGCGCTGGCAAGGCGATGCCCATGTCTGACCACTTTCACCACGGAGTCAATGACAAACTGTCAATTAGACCAGCCGCCAGTTTAGATCCCTCTCATGTGCCGTGCCTTGGTCAACTTCTTGAAAACTCTCCTGCAGCCGAGTGTGATCTCTTGGTCTTTCATATCACGATAAACCACAGTTTAAAACACATTATTTGGCTGCACACCGCAAATGCCTAGCCTCACTAGCATCGGAACGGAAAGTAACCAGTGCTGGCAAGGATGTGGTCTTTCACAGAACGAGGTTGCAACGTCGCCAAGGAAGCGCAGAAAGCCAGAAAGAAGGAAGGCGGAAAAGGGAAACGAGGGCCGGCCAAAGGGTGGGGCACTTAGGGGGCGGGGCGGGGGGGGAGAGGGCTGCTGCCTATGGCTTATGGTACGAAGCGCCGATCGCCCCTCCTGTAGTACTCACCGATATACTCTTCCAACTTCCGCGTTGCCGTCGGCTCCATGCCCAAGGCCTTGTAAGTGTCCTGGAGCGGGCGCTGGATCTGCCTTTGCATTTTCCAGTGGGAAACAGGGCCACGCGCACGCACCAAGGAGTGCTCAACTTTTGTGCAGGCACCAAGAAATCTCATAACAGCTGCATGCGAGTAGCAAGTGCGAGGGCGGTAGGGTGTTTTCCTCGACAACAGCTGAACATAACACTCTGTGCAGCTCCTAGATCTTGGATCCTTTTGAGCGGCGATGTGTAGGCATGCCGTTCACGGGCGACCACGCAGTTCGACTGAATTTGTGAATCACGAATCAACACGGCCCAACACACCGAAGCTCCCCTGTTCATCAACTAACACTGCCTTTGGGTCAATCTGTGGCAAGTCAGGCATGTCATAAGGTTTACAAACGCAGTGGCCACAACTAAAATGCTTCAGTAGGTTTTGTCCTCCGCCATCAGCATGGGAGTGTTTGCACCACCACTTTGGTTCACCTGAGAAGCAGGTGAGGGGCGAGGAATCAGTTTGAAAAGCTGATAGTCTTTTTTGTTCTCTCTCTCTCTCTCTTTCTCTCTGCCTTTGCATCCAGAGGGTCTTGACTCAGCAAGGCAATGAGAAAGGCGACCATAGCTGATATTATACGATATTATTGGGAACTGGTGTGTTTCAAAGTTTTCCTTCTTGCCCTCACCACGCCCACACACACATCTGCCGACAGACATCCGCCACACACTCAAAGGCACCCCAAAGAGACCTGAATGACATCAGAAGCCAAGGAACCAAACTCATCCCGGCGGAAATTCCCGAAAACATCCCCAAAGTCAATTGAACTCCAATGAAAACCCTTCTTCGAACATCTCGGGCAGAAACCTCCATAGTGCAAGACATGATGGCGAAAGGGCAAATCGAAGGGCGGGCTTGACCTCAACCAAGGCGCTTCTACAAATTTCAGGCGCTCCGCAACGTCCACGGTCCAATCAAAGCAGCCTACGGGCCGACCGACCGAAAAACGGACGGATCACCGGGCGCAACGGGCGGCAAATGGTTGACACTCTGGACAACATGCGCAATTGTCTTGACCGACTGTCAGCCACTTACTATGAAGGTCCGCGAGGTTTGGCCAGAACAAACCCGAGACACCGAGGCTTGCCTTGCCAACCGAAGGCGAAATTAACAAGAGGCTCACTTGTTCAAAGCCATTGGCAATACTTGCCCCAACGCAAATCTCTTGTTGCGGCTTTAGCATCAAGGTTGAAATATAAAATACCCTTTTCAAAGGCCAGCCTTACCCCCATCGTCACCGAGAAGCATACATAGTTTGTATCATATAAAATATAGCTTTCCAAATTGTTGCAACTTGCAAAAGTCCCAGCTGATCCGCACGTAGCTCAGCTCCAATCTTCGAGCTGAAAACGATTGCCGAATCTGGCCTGCAGCCGCCATGGTAAGCTGCATCTGGGAGTTGGAGACGACATTCACATCTGCTTCTCGCCCAGAAAGCTCCTGCAGGTGTTTCGACTTCGGAAACTCCGAAGTGCAGCCGACCAGCCCAATTCAGCAATTCGTTGGCGCTTCAGAAGGCCCAACTATTTCAGTCATCAGCCCTTCATTGAATCCGAGCGCTTGGTGCACGTACAAGCAAAGAAGTTACGGGTCAATTCAGACAGATCCTGCCTGCATGCCAGTCAGCCAGTAACGCATGAGGGGGACTGCATCCGGGTGAACTCTGGTGACTTGGCGGAAGTCACTCAGGGTGAGTGTGAATCCAATGGTCAGTCAAGGGACTGTGGAATGGGCAAAGAAAGAAACAGAACAACCTTGATAAGCGCATGGATTGGATTGACCTTTGGTGTGTTGATCCGGATTTCTTGGTCGCACGCAGCAATACTGGTGGCTGGTGCCAGCATGCGACTTTCCGAGTCAGCGTCCTCACAAAGCTTGATGACATCATTGGTAGACCACACCTTTGGCCCTGTCACAGTGAGCGTCTGCCCGACAGTGCGCTCCTAGGCATTCAGGATGCCATCACTCGAACTCAAAGTCATGCAAACACTTGCAGCTGACACTACTAGTGTGAACCAGCGAAAACGGTAAGCCTAACATGATGCTGATGAAGGATTCCGATGCACCAACGCACGCAGCTTCATGCCCAAAGATAGCCGATACTTGAGCAATGCAAACACGTGACCTGGGTGTCTAGGGTGTCTAGGGTGTGGATTGAAGACGCGCACACACACACACACACGGCAGCTCTGTCCTTGATCATTGCGGAGGCAATCATCCGGGACACATCTTGAGAGTCAATGTAGGCGATGCCAGGCATGCTGCCATCATCTCCCCACACTTTCTGATCATCCAAGACGCCTCGGTTGCTTCTCCCTGCAACCCACAATTAACGCCGGTGGCATGATGGCTCCGATTTGCACGATTTGAGTGCCAAAGATCATGGAGGCTAGGAGTTGGGTTGGAAGGGCCATTACTAGGGGTCTCGGATGCCCCAACGTTCGCTCGCACAATGTGGTAAGCAAACTCAGTTTTGCACTCGACCATCCCGAACTCATGCCTTGAAAGCTTCAGCTTCTGTTCGGACCCGGAACGTCCGCAAGTGGCAATCATTGACACGCTGCATTCTGGAGGTCAAGCTTCATTGGCAAGTGCGATCCAGGAACTGCTGACACGCACCCGCACGCGCTCAGACGTCATAGGGCGCAACAAAGGCAAACCATGCAATATGTTTCTTTCCTCTACCAGATTGTCCTTACAGGCAGGATTGCTCTCGCGAGCTGCATGTTGATCAATGTCCAACTGTTAATGTCTGGCAACAGCGTCGCACCATGAATTTGCCTGGGCTGGAACTCGGGATAGGGGCCCTTTTTGGCATCCACCCCTTAACGAGCGGCAAAAACGACATGCCAGCTCTAGCTATCCTAGCTCAAGCCCGTCGGCCAAGGCACTCACTGCATACTGGGAGATCAGCGGTTGCATGAGCCCACTGATGCGCAGCACGGTGTACCGGATTCCGCTCTGCTGAAGGAACTTCTCGGTGAGGTGCTTGATTTGCATCAGCGGGACCTGACTCGTGAATGGGGCCAAAAGGGCCAAAAGGGCCCCTGGGGTCTTACTATGCACTCCGGCTGAAAACTGCAATGTTTCTCATGTTGTTAGCCCGTGGCTGGGTAAGATCTTTGTGGGGTCCGTTTGGCGCCATATGCTGTTTGTGCCAGCACCTTTTTCGGGATCATTTTGCTGGCTGCTTTGCCAAGATGCTGTCTGGAACTTGTCGCAGTCTTTGATGCTGCAGAAAACATAGCGCTGGATCTTCATCTCTGCACAGCACTGAATGAGGCGCTTTTTGCCCTCCCAGTCCATGTCATAGACATCTTCCTGGCACACCCGTCACCCGTAAAGCCGGGCAGGGGCAAACTTTGTGCGGCAAACGGTCATAACCGTAGGTGTCCTTTTTGGGAAAATCGATGGCCCAGGCAAACCAGGGCCCCTTATTCCAGACCAAATCAACCAAAAAGGACACCTATGGTCATTACCTACACTTTTGGACATATAGCAGATTGGAAGAGTGATGAACGTCCGCAGTCGTTCTGCAACGGGCAACAGCTGGATTGAAGCCGGACTCACGGCTAAGAGCCTTGGGAAGGCCTCCCAAGGGATGAGAAAGCTGATTGCTTCACCGACCGACCAAACCGGAGAGACGCAAATCGCGGATTGCGGATTGGAAGCGACCGAACTGGGCTCGCCTCGGGCCGTGCAGTGGCACAATCGATCACCGTGTGAATGCCCACGAGGGAGCTCGGCAAGCTCTCCTGAGGACAGAAAAGGTGTGGGGCGTGGGTTGTTTCGTGTGTTTCTTTGCTCGTGGTTGGGCATTCCCTAGGCATTCCCTACCCTGCACTGAAAGATTTGAGAGCGTGAAAGAATCCAGCACGGTGACAACGGGCATGACCTTCCCAAGTTCCCTATCAAAACACTATATCATATATGGCTGCGAAATGAAGTACGCAACGAACTTGTTCCAATTCATGATGACACCCCTCTTTTCCCACAATGAATGCAAATTCAAACAAGTTGTTTTTCATGGCTCGAAATTCACCCCTGTGAGGCACACCCCAGCGCAGATTGACAGAGTCAACATCTGGATGGTCTCAAGAGCTAGCCGAATAGTTGGCAAAACCCTGACCAGCATCCGTTTGACTCTTCCTAGTAGCCGTGCAGCCTAACCTACCATCAGAGTGACTTGCCCTAACCCGCTGCCCCAACCAGAATGACACAGCCCTTTGTTTGCAACTGGAAACCTGCACACTACTAGGAGTCCAGGAGTGCACGTTAAAAAAAAACTCATGCAGCCACATGTGCTTTGTGCTTTGTAGCATGTGCTTTGCAACTTCAAGAAAGATAGAGGCAAGCTGTGTGGATCTGCCGAAGGACCCACAGAAGCGAGGTCCCTTGGCGCGCCGAAGCAAGGCGTACTTGGGCATATAGCGAAATGTGTAAAAAGGGGTTCAACCAAATTGTGGTTCTCGTTTGGTATTTAGGTCCTCCAGTAGAGAGGTTAGAATAAGGGCACCCTTGTTTCTTTAGTCTGTTTTAGTTGGGGAACCATCCCCCAAAAAAGAAATGGAAAAAGGGAGCTACTGGGGGATCTGGGTATGAAACCAAAATCAAAACCTCAAAAAGCCACACAGCGATGCCCTCATGGGCCAACTCAACCCAAGCTCCGGCCGAGAAAGAGAGCCCTCCACCACCGTGGCGCCCCAGTCCTGAGAGCGGGCTTCGAGTGGCATGTGACTTGGTTGTAACGACTCCTCTGCAAAGAAAACAACTTGTTGTGGGTCAATGAAAATCCCTTGAGTTATTGTTTGCTGAAAAGTTTAAAGATCCAACCCCGCATCAAGATGAACCATTTAAGCTGCTGCCACGCCGTCTTTCGCCCAGTCCGTATTAGGCGAATCGGACTTCAGGTGAGGCCATTGCCTCACAAATGAGGACTGAATGATCCCAGTCTTGCCTACACGAAATGGGCAAGTCTCGAGTCGCCCAGTCCCTGACCTGCGTCAAGCTTGTGAGCCAGGCTTGCCAAGATCTGTTTGCTCTGCGACAAAGCAAGCCATATGTCATAAGGCTCCTTGAGCAAACCGAATGAAACTGGCTTCTTATGTTCTACCAGGGTCACTGGGCAGCATTCGGGCAGCAATCTCTTGGATGCAGGGGGCGTCAACAATTACCATAAGCCTTGCCATGACACCACCAGGAAGGAGAAGGGTCGGTCAGCGCGGTTCCGCAGCATGCAGCGCACCGAGTAGCCGGCATTCCTCAGTTTGAGGGGTGGCTGAGCTGCTCAAAAATTGCCTTGGACGTGAAAATGTGCAATCGAGGCCGGGTCAGCAAGAATTTCCAATCAGGACAACTGAGACAAGGGCTTTGTACACCCGGCGGGGCGGGATCTGGTGGCACACTTTGGAAGCTGGCATTGGCTCAACATCTGCACCTCTTGGCGTTATTTCAGATATTTCAGGTACAGAAAAGGGATTTGCTGCAAGCTTGGCTTTGAAGTCACCTATGCATATGCGTGTATAAACAAAGAATAACTACATATATACTATATATATATATATATATATATCATTAGTTGATATGTATATATATATATATATCTTTCGTAACTATTTGCAAATTGCAGGACCGCCTCCGCCTCCCAAATCACCTACAGAATTGGGTGTTGCACTTGGGGATGTGCTCATGCCAAGGCGCAGGAGCTGTCGCACCACCTGGCGCCCCACCGTGCCAGTGGAGCCCAGGACCAGCACCGAGGTCTTCTTCACGGGAACTGACTCCTGCCGGTCAGGCGCTTCGCGAGGCCCGGCGGAACTGAGCCAGAGCACATCTAGGTCGAGAGGTTAGAATGGTACCCGATTTTTATATATATATATATATATTTTTTCGGTAGTCTATTGTAGTAGGGGAACTCTCCCCCCCAAAAAAGTAAAAGGGCACTACTGGGGGACCTAGACATTCAAACCAGAAGCCTTCGGCCATCCAATTGAGGTGCGGTGCATTTGAAGCGCGGAGAAAGCGTGTGAGCAGTGGCTTCAAGCAGCTGAGTTGAAACAACTTGAAACCAATTTCTGTAAGTAGTCTGAATCACACATTGATGGCAAGCCATCCGGGCTACGCATCTCAGAACATGTTATTCTGATGCGGCCCACCCCACAAACCTATCTCCAAAGTACTGCTTTGCAGCTTTTCAGTAGTTTGGAAACGACAGCAATGCAAGTGTGCGCTGGCATTAGTTGAGCCAATGCAGCTGACGTCACACCTGCTCAAAATCTTCTACCCTCCCGTCAATTAACATGGAACGTGACAGGAGTGTCCTGGAAGACAGTTTTCCTTCCAAAGGGACCCTCTGTCACGTTCCTTGTCAATTGGTGGGACGGCACTACCATGTAGTGTGCAGGGTCTTAGTCAGTCTGATCAAGCCGAGGGTTGCGAAGCCAAACGTTGGACAACACCCTCCGAGACATTAGCCCCAAGCAACGTTTGCACATGCGCAGAAATTGCGCAATCAACCAACAGGCCTCTAGATCGGGCACTGGGCTCTCCCTAGCCAATCAGCACATTCTGCAGCCGGGGGGGTATTAGGGCCTCCCTACCCCCCAGAAAGGTTCTTAGAATGCTTCAAGAACCCATCCTAAAAGGGTTCTCAGAACCTTTTCTTGGGGAATGGAGGAGCACTAGGTTTTGCCCCAGTGACTTCTCCCGCCTCTTCCTCCACTGCCGGCTCGGTCTCAAAGCTTGCGGTGATTGTAGCCTTTCGGGCTGTGACACCTGCGCGTGTTGCGGAAAACCACACATCCACATCCACAGGGGATGTGAAAGACATATCTTGCAATGCAAGTGAAGCAACGCCAAGCCAAGCAAAACAACAGAAACAAACAAGCAAAACTAAGCTGTGCCCAAACGCATTTGCATCAATCAGGGTTTTGGCAGGGGGGTAGCCCCACTGATGAACCTCCCCTTTCAATGATTTTAAATGGAGAAATGCCTCAATTGGAAGGCACCGGACCAAAGAAAGGGACACTTTCCCTTCTCCTCGAACCTTCCCAAAGTCGCCTGCACGATGTTTCCGCCGTGCCAGCGCCGCCAAGGCCAGTGGCGCCATGGTGGCCGCTGCGACTGCGCTCGGAAGGCCGCTACTGGCGCTGGCGCTGGAGGCACTTGCGCCAGCCCGCGTGTTGCCGCGAAGCGCGGGGGTGGCATGTTGCGCACCTTGCGAGAACCGCAGTCCAAGGCTTGCGCACCTGTACTAAACTTTAGAATGGGTGCAGAAGATACGCAAAAAATAGGGGATCTTAAACGGAAACCTAGATACGGACCCTATGTCCTGTTTAACTTCCCTTGGGGTAAATGCACAATTGCGGCCCAGTTCGGTCGGGGAATGGCAAATAGCATCCTCGATTGATCACTGTACTTCAAACAGCGCCTGCCTGCGAACCCTATCAAACTCAACTGGATCCTGCACCTGAGGAATGAGTGTTCGGGTAATAGAAAAACCAACTTGCTTCAAACTTCCGTGTGAGTGTGGCTCAAAATGAAAAAGCTCGGATTACGCAGATTCTAATCTTTGGGTCCATTTACCCGGGTGCCATTTCATTACATTGTGTTGATTCGACTTCCACGTCAACCTGCAGTGTGCCAGCTCATGGGCCCCCGCCTCCCGCCACGAAGGCGGTGGCAGTGGCTGCTGTTGCAGCACACAGGGCCGGCACGACCACGCGACGGCGCGCCTCCTGGCACGAAACCGCTGGCCTTCGTATCGAGGGTTGATGCCACAAAACACGGCGAATCTAGTTTTGGAGAGTTTTGGGGGATCTGGGCTTGAACTTGGCAAAGGGAACGGACGTACGTGCGTTGAAATCGACACACGAGACTTGCACAAAAGTTGGCCGTCCACGTGTACTAAGAGCGTGTTGAACTTTCAGTTGGTTCATTCCCGCCCTTCAAAACGAGCCTGGGTGAATCACAACTCTGAGTTGTTTCGCAAACGCAGTTCTAGCATTTCAGCTGACACTGAAAAACAACAAGGCATACAAGGGACGACGCTGTTTCAAGAGCCCATCTCCAACCTCGGAATTGTTGACCACAGCAATTGGATGCACAGGATGCTTTGACTCTAGGACAAGAAACTCTCAGGGCTTCATGTGACGCTTGCTGCGTCATGCCCCATGACCATCTGACTGACTCATGGAGTGGAGCCGGTCCACCACCCTCCCCGTCCCATGCTCCTGAGTCGCCATGAGCTTCAACGGCCAGTCCCACACCCTGCTCTGAGATTCAAACTTTCGGCCAGGCATCCCCGACTACGAAGCATAGTGCTAGTTACGATCTCCAGCGACCCTGGATATGGGTGTTTTTGCTGAAAACTCAGGGTGCCGACTGGGTCTTGCCCGACATTGGCCTGGCCGTCCCCTGAAACTCACTGCCCGCTGCTAGGCATCGGCCGCAAATAGCATGTGCAACTCATACAATTGCCGCCGGCCGTCTAGACCTCTTTTGCAGGCCTTGTCGCGCCGTTTTACCAGGCAAGCTTCCATCCCGCATGTGCGAAAGGCCGGCTGGCAACGCATCGCCCACTTTGGGGCGATGTGGCTAGGCGATTCACGAGCGAAGGTGATCCATGACAGCCTCAATCAAACAACAAATCCTCTGGCTGTGTTGAAACACTTGTCGCAACTGATCGCTCATGGCTGCACTGTCAGTTTTTGACAGCGCTAAACCCTGCAATTCAGGGACAGGAACCTGGCCTAAAAGCACGGGGTTGTAGCAAAATCGGACATGTCATGTGCACTCGTGCGGAGCGGCTGCATGTTGTGGGTCCGGGGTTTGGGGAATTGGCTCGCGACCTGGGCTTCTGTTTCATTCGTCTCACCATTCGGGCCCCAGCCCGCCCGACTGGTTCGCAGCATCCTTCGGGGAACCCCTTCTTCTAAGACCCCTTACTTGAGCTGTGAGGGGCCCTAGGTTGACACTTGCTTGGCAATACTTCGGGAGAGGAAGGTTTGTGAGCAAAGCCACCCTTCTCAAGCAAACTTTAGGCAGGCTGAAGTGACTGCCTACGCACAATTAATCTAAGAAGGGTACCCTGTGTGGGGTCCCCCCACTTTTTGGGGTTTAAAGGGAAACCAAAACATGGGGTTTAAAGGGAAACCAAAGGAACATCACCATGTCTTGGGGTCCCCCGCACTTGGCCACATATCCACACATCACGTGCCTCTTGGCCGGCATCCAATCCTTATTCTTCACCCATCCGGCTACGCAGCTCCTCGTTCACCCGCCGCAATTCCTTCAGGTCGTTGCTGAGCCTGCATGGCATGAGACCTCTTCTATTTTGAAGTGGCTGCTGCGAGTCGCTGAGTGCATCTGGCAGGCAAAGTCGAAAACACGTTGTATGGCGCCAAGTACAAGGGCTGCAGCTTCAAGTCTCCAGTGCCTGTTTTTGCATACTACAATGGTGCTTGGGCCATCGTCACACGCAACTCAGCACATCCCAAGAGTTGCTGCCCTAGGTCAACTCATAGCTCTGATCGCTCAACGATGTCGCGATCAACGCCGTGCCTCGTGGATTGGGTCTGCAGCTCAGCTCGCTGGGTGCGCAGCTCCGCGAGCTGCCGCCTGGACTGCACCTGGCGATTTTCGCTCGGCAGGCGTTCTCCGATGGCAACTGGGGCCAAAAAGAGGCGAGGTGAGACCTTGCAAAAGCGGTTCGCGTGAAACACAAACAAGACCGGCAACATGTGCTTGTTCCCTCCATCTCGCCTGAGGATGCATGGAAAAACCGCTGCCAGGGGGAAGCATCACAAAGGATTCCCCTCTCTTGCCATTCTGTTAGAAGCGGAGGCCTTGTCGAACTAACCAGCGAGGCCTTTTCCGTGAAAAACGTACATGCTGCACGGGTCTGCACATTTTATGCCAGCCATGAACATGCCGTCGCAACACAGCTAGCAGCTAGCACAACTTCGACACTGACCCCAAACGCTAGCAGTCACCACGTGGTTGATCGACGTATAATCCACTGGTGGGGGGGGAGCGTCCGAAGCGCAAAGCCCAAGCCACCCATTCCGGGCTTAGCACAAGCCTGCTCATCCTGCTGGCCCGCCATAAGTGCCACAGCCCTTTCCACTGCTGCCACCTCATTGGGGCGGCGGCGCAGGAACGGGACCCGCAGAAACTGAGCCCAAAGGGCTCCATGATTTCATGTGGCCAGGGCTCAACATGTATGACCATTCAGCTTCCCTCTAAATGGTTTGGGTTGGCAGTTTGGAGGTTAGGAGACCCTCTACAAAGGCCAAAGATGGCCAAAGGTTGATATAAATCTCAAACCACCAAACCAGATCCAAACCACCAACTAAGGGTGCCAAAGCCATGTCACGCAAAGCAAACAAATCCAAGGCCACTCTGGCTAAGCCCTTTGCCAACTTCCCTTCCTCCACCGCACCGCGCAGCTGCTGTCGCAACCTCGTCCGGACCTGCTGCAGCCTGAGTGACTTGGGAGCAATAGGGGTCAGGCAACGACAGTCATACTGTGGATGGACGAAATCCTACTTTGAAACCATGTGAAACCATTGTTTGTTGGTATTTACAGGGGAATCATCATTCTCGGGTTTCTTGGGGGGGCAGGATTAGTAACACTGTCATAACTTGCCAACCCGCTTCAAACTGACAATTCTAGCAATAGGCAAGTCCAAGTGTGGCAAAGGAAATAAAAGAAATTAAGTTCCTGTCCGAGTGGACCTTGCTCTCGTTTTATTCTTTCTCGCTTTCTCTCACTCCCTCTCGTTTCAGAGGCCTGTGGGCTGCCCGCCGCACAGGAAAGTCTGGTTTGTTTACAGCAGCACATGTGGATCCCAATATTTCGCCCCTCCGCCTCCCTCCCTCACAGGCCTTGCCATTCAAATGTGTACTGGCAAAGTGCAGGGATGGAACTGCTGAAACATCAAGCACAGCAACAAATTTCCAGTTTGACCATCAAATGATCAGCAAGAGCTGACACCTGCGCCCGAGCAGCTCCTCGCCAGCCGGAGCCTATCACAATCTGGTGCCCACATGGTGCAGAGAATGGCAGGGGTGGTTTCATGATGTCACAAACATCATTAACCTTCCTGTCCACATGTGGTGGTTCAAAGCGCATTCGTTTTCCATGTCATCATACCGCCAAGGGCTCGCTCCGACCCCCCTGCTGTACAAGAAATTCTTCTCTCTATCTCTCCTGGTGCTTCTTCAACTGGCCCCAGCTAGCCTTTAACGGGCTCCGTTTCTTTTTGAGGGCATTGAAAGTCTTTGCCCACTGCCTGGGAGTCGTTCCCTGCGCTCTTTCTGAGCGGCGACGAACCGCCCGCATGAGCTACCTCAGCACGCAGCACGCACACAGCCGTGATCGCAAACCGGCTGGATCATTTTTGGCCAGCTCCAAAAAAAGGTGTCTCGGTCATTGAGCACTCAGTTTGTTTCATGCGACTTGATTCGCTTCGCGCTCAGGTGCAACCCAGACTCGTGTGCAGAACTGGATGGCAGGCAGGTCGCCAGATTTGCAGAATTTGTCTCCACCGGCGCCGAAACATCCTCAATTGCCGCTCGAGATCATGGCCTACATCACCCTCTGGAACCAATCAGCAATTGCATTTCAGGCAAGCACGGAAGGGCGCACTGTTGTGAGATGCCCGGGAAGCCCCAGAAATGCCGTGGAATCGTACAAAAACCATCCAATCGCATCCACAAGGCCGCTTTGATTCAAATCCAAATCCAGAGCCACTGGCCGATTTCCACTGGCAGCATGCAGGAAACACTGTGAAGAGACCCTGTTTGAAGAGCCCCAACGTGCATGCGCTCGTGGCAAAATAACTCAGCTGTGACATCATAACTAAACGAGGTTCCACTGCACAATATTGAGGGACAAGTGCTACTAGTAGGATGCCCGCATCCTTGCCCTTGACAAATTTGAACAGCGGAGTCAAACTATTTGCAATATGACTTAGTTGCGATCAGTGCATGAGTTCGGGCTGAAATGTCCTCCCGAAACCGGCACTACACTCTTCAATACACCCTTCCTGATCATTACAAAATAAAAGCTCTTTAGCCGCCGGCTCACGTCCCACATATTGAAGCACATTATTTTGCACAAGGGAAGTGAACGGGTGCGAAACATATTGCTCCCTCTCAAAGGATGCTCGCCTAGGTCTGGACACCCAGGCGCGGGTTGGGAGATTTGTGACCATCTGCTGCCAAGTTTCCGGCTCAAGGCCGTCTGACGGCTCCGGCGTTCTTTGAACCTAAGACCGTCTCAGATGCGATCCAGCGGGATCGATGGATTCCGAAGTGATGCAAAATGATCCCTGACCCTGACTTCAATTTATTCCCCCCGTGCACTCACAAAGGGAACATGGTGAAAGCCTTCCGTACGTTGCTTGGGGTAGGGGTGCGCAACATGTCACTAGTCCCTTCTTGCAGTCCCTCAAAAGCGCCTTCGAATATATATATATATATATATATGTATATATTAATATGTATCTTATATTCACAAAATAATTAAAGGACATAGCCATCAGGGCTCTGATCATATTTGCCCGTGTGCCCTTGATCATGCACAGGTCATTTAATCGCCATCTGATCCGCTTAAATACCCGGGACAGGGCACGGCTCTCAATTTAGAGGCGGCCCCGGGACAGCAATGCTGGACTAGGTTCCGAGAGACGACCCTGCGAGCTTGAGGCCTCTTGGCAGCCATCAGGCTGAAGAACTAGCCTTTGCCACCTGCCACCGTTACACGCTGCGATGCACCTCCAGCGAACATCCCAAGCCCCACGAAAATAGGTTCTAAAATGGGTGGTGCACCTACCCCAAAATGGGATCCCATTGGTTTTGACCCACAGCCACATCCCAAGGCCTTGAGGTTGACCATCCCATCCCTTAACTGAACGACCCCGCGCGCTATGGGGAGCCCACCGGATAGTGGCCGGGGTCAGAGGCCAGCTCCAGCTCCTTGAAAAGATTACTCCTAAGGAAATCCGAGTACGTCCAAAACAGGCCATGTATCAGGGCGATGTCCAAAACCGGCTCTGAGGCTCTGTGCGCTGCTCATTTACAAAGGTGGCTATGCTCCTAATCAGCCTGCGTGCGCTTCTTCCCAACACGAACTTGTGGTGGAGACTTTAAAAATTGGGCCAGCGCCATTGGAGGTCAACTTGCACGCGTGCCCTGCACATACTGCTGCCATCTCATTTCTGCCATGCTGTGCGGTCAAATTGCCGCGCAAGGGGAAACCATCTTGCAAGGCCTGGACCCACATGGCAGCAGGGTCACCACATATCTCTTCAGGCGGCGTGAGCAAAAATCGGCAGCCAAATGGTGCAGCATACAGGGCACCGCACCATTAAGAAGTTCGTTGCATCTACAACTCTCCGAAGCTGCGCGACCTGTGCCAAAACCAGTTGGCCGACCTCTCCTGGCAGGTCGGCTCTCGCTGCGCCTCAGGTGCAAGCAGTCATCCCGGCTGACCATGGATGCAAAGCAGCATGGCTTGGCTTATCTGCCTGTAAGACACGGCAACCGAGTAAAGCACAAACATAAAGTGGAGATATGGGATGGTAAATCCGGGAGCTGCATGGATGTGCCCACCTGCCAGCCACAACACATCAGCAGCGCCGGAAAGATCAAGCTAGACTCACAAACGACAAAAACACAAACACAAAGACACAAACACTGCCGAAACAAACACAGACACAGTCACTCACACACACACACACACCAATCAAAAAACAAACAGCATAAACAGCGACTGATCGAGCCAGGCGACCCTCTCCGGCCAGCTGGCCTTCCTACGAGGAAAGCAGTCAGAATCCCTCGAGCTCGCCAAAAACGGAGCAACCCACCAGAAATGCCCACAATGACCAGCGACTGTTCAGTGGCTTCCAAGGAGTGCTCCAAAAAGGAACCACCGCTTGAAACTGCAGCTGATTGAAACATGTGTACCCCACGAAACGCACGGGATACTCAATATGATCTGACTACTGCGCTCCAATGCACTGCATCGTGCCCATGAACATTCCAAGCAGCCAGGACTCTAAATTGTTTCCGCCTGAGTGCCAAACAAATTACTAAATTCGCCTCGGTTGAAAGAACCCAAGAGCGCTCAGATCTCTTCTCCAAAGAGAATCTTCGCTTTTCCCTCCCCAACCAAAATTTTGCCGGCCCGCCCCCCCCCCCCCCCACCCATGTCGGCTGGCCCAAAATCCTGTCCGGCGGGCCTTGGGGTTCGTCGGCGTCCAGCTCCATGCGTCCATTTTTGTTGAAAATGTGCTGACAATTGCCTTTTTTGTCCTGAAAAGCATGACCTCCTGCTGGCCAGGCCTGTCTGACGTGTCTGAGACTGGGCTCAGGCCCAGCCCAACCAGCAACCCGCCTGCTGGCCAGGCCTGTCAGCCTAGAGGCCCAAGCTTGTCTGAAACAGGCCTAGCCCCCAGCAAGCCCAGCCCAGCCTGCCCAGCCCAGGCCCGGCGCATCTCAGAGCATGCCAGCCACTAGGCCGGCTCCCAGCTCCCAGCCCGCCAGCAGGCTCAGCCCAGCGTGCCAAGGTCAGGTTTGTCTAACGTGTCTGAGACTGGCCTCAGGCCGCGCAGTCTGAGACTGGTCTCAAAGTATGCTAGCCGGAGACTGCCTCAGTCCCTCAGCCCGCCTGCTGGCGTGTCTTACGTGTCTGCGACTGGCCTCAGGCCCAGCCCAGCCAGCAACTCGCCACCCAGCCTCAGGCCCAAGTGTGTATGAAACAGGCCTTGCCCGCCCAGCCCAAGTTCCACAAGCTACGCCAGCTACTAAGCCTGTCTGACGTGCCCCAGGCCTTGACCTCCTGCTCTCCTCTGCCCCCAAGTCATCCAGCAGGCCCAGCCACTTCGGCGCAGTGTGAGACTGGTCTCAAAGTATGCCAGCCTGAGACTAGCCTCAGGCGGCGTGTCTTACGTGTCTGCGACTGGCCTCAGGCCCAGCCCAGCCAGCAACTCGCCACCCAGCCTCAGGCCCAAGTGTGTATGAAACAGGCCTTGCCCATCCAGCAACCCGCCCAAGCACAGCTCAGCCCAGCCCGCCCAGCCCAAGTTCCAGGCGCAACCAGCAGCGTAGTCCGGCTGCCCGGCAGCCAGCAACCCACCCATGACTTCGCAGCCTCGTGGCTGAGACACAGCCCAGCGTGCCAGGTCAGGTTTGTCTAACGTGAGACTGGCCTCAGGCCAACGACCAGTCTCACGTGTCTGAGACTGGTCTCAAGCTACGCCAGCTACTAAGCCTGTCTGACGTGCCCCAGCCCCCCAGTCCGGCTGCCCAAGCAGCTCAGCCCAGGCTGGCCAGGCCTTGACCTCCTGCTCCAGCCAGCAACTCGCTACCCAGCCTCACCCTGTTTCAGACTCGCAGGCCTCAGCCTATCTAGCGCCGAGACCGGCTTCCGAACATCGAACTAGCACGGGCGAACTGGTGCGGTCACAAGCTTGCAGTAGGATTCGGACCTTCCCAACACTGGATTTCGGTGTTCCTGACCCTTCCCTCAAACTAGGCTGGGCCGAGGCGGGCAACGCGAAGCGTTTACAATTATTCATGCATCTCAAGATCTGTCTCTAAATGCAGCAATTATGACTCATAATGTGCTGTCCTGCGACGTGGTGGCTGTTGAGCATTCGAAAGCTGCGAAACCATGTACGAGAAAGGGTCCTAAGCAGGGAGCAAACGGAAACCCACGCAGATTTCCTTTCTGTCGAGATCGCGCGAGTATGCACAAGCAAATTCGCCCCTGCTTGCAAACCTCTACTTAACTCTATGTTACCACCCAAAAGAAGAGCCATCCTCCCTTCAGCAAATGTCAATGAAAGCATTCCAGCGGAAACATGGTGCTGCAGCAAGCCTGTCCACTACACCCTGAACGAAAAGTGCAGTGTAATGGTCACGAAACATTGTTTGCAGCTCGACGACGGCGACCCCAACAACAGCAACAACCACACCACCCACCCACCCACCGACCTACCCACCCACCCACCCACCCACCCACCAAGCAAGCAAGCAAGCAACCAACCGACCAACCAGCAGACCAGACCAGACCAGACCAGACCAGACCAGACCAGACCAGACCACACCAACCAACCAGCTAACCACCACCACCAACAACAACATCTTGAAGGGCCTGCATGGGTAGGACGTTGGTTGGATTTCCCGATGGCCAAGCAGTTGCCAAACTCGAACGCGACACAAAACCGCCATGCACGGCCGGCGTGAAGACACGGGCATGCTGCACTTAAGGGAAGCCCGGGGACAACACCCAACCTCTTTCAAAGTACTCGGCATGCATACCCATGAAAGTGTCAAGCACAATGCGTCAAGCAAAGGTTCTGGTGGCTTTGCTTGAATCAGCGCATGCAGCATGGACTGCAAATACTGGAGCACCTTGTGCTGCTCCAGGTAGTCCTGTGACGCTCTGGGATGCTGTCTCCAACACCATCACTTGCTTGCTGCCTGCAAAATGCCGGCACTGACAGAAACTACTGCCTAGGCCTGGGTGCTGGAGCATTTGCGTGGAACACATGCGAGAAACCACGGTCATGTTGCAAAGTCGTGTGTGGTGACCTGGTTGGCATTGAGAACTCTCCATTCCACGACAAGCCGACCATTGCAATGAGTTCAACGAAAATGTGCCCGAGCCTATGCGTTTGCAAGGCCTGGAGCAAACTAGGCATATCGAAGAGATGAAGAGCTCACACCGATCCCCAGCCCCCAAGAAGCCAGAAGCTCTCGCAATCTACGCAAGGCGGAGTCCGCAGAACAATCCACAAAGCGTGCAACAGTAAGCGTGGTCAACAAGCCCAAACAAAACTTCCACCAGCATAGACCCCAATAGACTCGCACCTTGGGCACACCAAAAAGCAGACCAGCACCAAAAACAGCTCTCTGACCAGCCTCCTGACTGCATTCCAAAGAAGCACCGCCTGCAACTGCCGCCGCGCCTTGAGCACACCAAACAAAACTTTAACCACCACAACAACATGGTGCCTACCACCGCACACCAAAAAGGACCTGGACCAGCACCTAAGATAGCACCCTGACTGTATTGCCAAATCAGCACCGCCTGCAACCATCAAGGTGGTGTGCAGCACTTGGCCAGCCAACAACAGCACCCTGCCGCATTGCCAAACAAGCACCACCAGCAACTAGCAACTGCCACTGAGCAAAAAGAACCCTGACTGACTGCATCGCAAAACAAGAGCCGCCAGCATCCACCACAGCACCTTGAGCAGATTCAACAGCAGCCTAGCCAGAACCCGCAACAGCACCCTTGCCTGCATCGCCAAAGCACCACGAGCAACTGCCACAGCACCTCGAGCACACCAAGCAGCACCCTGACCAGCACCCACAACAGCAACCTAACCCGGAAGACCTAAACAGCCTGCCCCTTTTAGAAGTAAGGACCCCTAGGCCCTATAGCTTTCAGCTATGAAAATTCGGCACGAAACAAATCCGTTTCCGGTCCCGCGCTGCGGCATCGTGGGATGGAGGTTGGGCATCCGCATCTGACAGGCCGTGGATTTCTTGCTTTTCAGTAGGAGGGGACGGAGTGGACACAGTGGACAAGGTATGCGCAATGCTATGAACAGGTAAAGTATGGTCAGGACACTGCATCGAACCAGCAACTCCAAAGCACCGCCAAGAAGGTCAAGTTCATATCAGTATACTCTATTTCGGATCACGATGCTTTACCAACAAAGCTTACCTCAACAGTTTCATGCAAGGCCAGTTCTGGTTCAAGCGGCTCGCTCGTAGGGTTTTGCCTCAATTCCGAAGAACTTCGGAGTCCAATGTGACTGTAATCTGTGGTTCGGATTGACGGCCGGTGCACCCTCTGGAAAACGGTTTGGATGCGCCTTTTGTGGATCCACCCCTGTAGAGTCACTGTAGAATATTAAAAGAGTACGAACAGGTGACATCCACAAAAGGCGCATCCAAATCGTTTTCTGGACACACAACCTTGGTCATACAACTTGATTATTCATAGGACACAGGTCCATCTCTGTCAAGGAAATCGTTTGTTTCCCCATGTTGTTCTTTCATCAGTGTTCCAATCTAACATTTGATGAAGTTGCTGGCCAACGACTGTCCGACACATGGATTCTGTGGCATTCGACTCACAGCAGCCAAGGACAACATAGGACAACCAAGCACTAATCACCCCAAAGCTCCCTCAAAAAGCCAATGATAGCCGAGGGTGAACACCTACAGGACTGGATGTGCCCAACCAAGAGCAACCCCTGTGATTTCATGCTGCATCCCAGCATCTTTGTGCGAAATATGGTTCCAACGGTCCTGATAACTTCCACGCAATCCGAACCCCTTTGAATGCATTTTCTGTATAACCCCCCCGCCTGTGTCGCACGCTGAACGCTCTGTTGGCCTTACACTCAGGCGCACCGCCATGTCCTTGGCATTGCAAAACCCACTCAGCGAGAGTTGAGTACAGCCCCATCCGAAGCGGGCAAAAGGCCATGGAAGCAATGCCATCTGCCAAAAAGTGTTAAAATGGGATGTTGCACGAGTCTTGGCACCAGCCTTGCAGCCAGCCAATGTTCTCCCTACTCTTTTCACACAAGTAAGTGTCAGCAAGTCATGGTTCAATAGGCAATCATTGGCCCAGGGCCCAGGGTCATGGACCGCGTGGCATTGAAGGTCGTCAGCTGAAAACCCAGCACTTAAGAGCGTCAGAATTTCAAAACAGCTTTCAGGGGCTTCATCATTCGCCAGTGCAATTCGTGTACCATTGGTGCGACAATGATGACAAGCAGAATGATGATGACGACGACAGCGCAATGATGATAATGAACACTTGCCTGTGCTGCTGCTCATGATGCTTGTGATGCTGATGTTTGAGGCTGCTGCAAGCGTTTGCGCTCCGTGACCCTGGAGCTCAAGCACCAACAAGCCTGACGGCGTGCGCATTGAGCCGCGTGCCCTGTTTTGAGATTGAATGAACGCTGGCCGCGAGAGCGGCTGCGTGAAAATAGTGCGATTGGCGAGGATGCGGCGAGGATGCGCGGCCCACTTCGCGGGGTGTGCTTTTCGCAGGCAAGGGGTCTCCCATTGGCAACGGCGCCGATGCGTACAAGGCGCTTGCATGCCTTCCAATGGCACCGTATAACGCAGCTCCTCCTGTCGTAGTACCTGTCTTGCTGTCGCCACTGGCCGCAGCACATCGATGCGCAGCGGCTCACCTCGGAGCACATCTCCGGTGGCTGACGCATCCCAATCAACATCTACTTTGTTAAGGCAAAACCATCATGCCTTCGCCCTATTGTTCAATGGCCTTAAAGAGCTACATCAGCAAAGGGCCCTTGAATTCACCCCATCCTCACCCAAGGCCGTGTGCTAATCAAAGCTGGACATGCGAGACCGAGTGCTGCATCAGTGTCGGGTTGCCGCCCAATGAATCAATGTCCGGCTGCCCAGCAAGCGCATTTAATTGCGAAATACTTGAAGCAAGAACTATCACAAGCACATTTCATCATATTGGTAGTTCACGGGATGTCAGAATTGTTCCTGCACATGCGAGTACTGCGCTGCCCTGGCACGGAATCAACATTCCAGGTTTGTGCGAAGGCCCCATGTTTTGCAACCGCCAACCTTGAGCAAGCATGAGAAGCATTCGCTTTCAGCCATGCTTTAACCACCAAATCGCAATCGTTCCCAATGACATGCGTGATACCCTAGGGCTCCGAAATGTCCAGCGCCCTCGGCCAGGATGCAGGCATCAGCCAGTGAGGTGGCAAATCTCAGGGGATGCATCAGTGCTGACCTTGGAGCCCATGAAGCGGGTGACGTGAGCGGCTTGCAGTTTCCGAGTGTGGTGGGCAAAAAAGGTTGTGTGTGTGGATTTTAAAGGGAAGACCTTCCTGAGAGAAGGAACAAAGGATGCCACTTGGCAACTTGGAAGGCCAGTGCCCAATTCAGATCGGAGGCCATGAGGCCCTGATGGGTCGATGAACAAACACATGCTGCACAAGTGAACATCGAAGACTCAGGGTGAAATTCCCAGGTTGGCCACCTGTTCATCGCCTGTGCTGTGGAATGTGACCAGTTGACATTTTCATGAACAGTCCTTGAACTGAGAAGCCTCGACCAGCGCAACAAAAACAAATCCAAAAGAAAACACCAAACAGCCTTTACTTCCAAAGCTTGCTGGCCGACTGGATGTCTTACTCATCTTACCACTGGCATGCCCACAAGGGGCTGGCTTGCAAGTGAAGCTCGTGGACCGCGACCTTTTTCGCTGTCACGCACCGAGAGAGAGAGCCGAGCGCACCCGTCCGAGTGAGCTAGCTGAAGTGAGGAATCGAGTGCCGTGCCCAGGACATCGGGGCTCACAAGTGAACTGTGGCTTTCGAGGAGCAATGGTCGACGCGGTCTATTGTCCGACCTCAGCCAGCGGCAAACGCTATAGGCCGGGCTTGCACGCCCGAAACCGCATACTATCGAATGCTGTCGCCTAAGGAGAACCTGTATGCTGAAACATCCTCTGTCCGCCGTCAACTCAAGAAAGGCCGGACAAGCAAAACACATTCTGAAGTACATTCTGATCCAAACTGACTTACTGCAACTGCTCGCACGCACTGCGTGAAGCCCAACAAGCCTAGCAATTCAGATTCCCCCGGAACATACATCAAGTGCAAAAAACTACATACATATGTACATATGTATACATGCCATACAGAAAACGCAAGATGTCCATGCCAAACATAATTCCTAACAAGCCCAAACAATGGCCAGCTGAGACCAAATGATTCCGTTTAGGCGTTGGGTCAATCCTGCCAAGGCTAGCTTTTGGTCACCCTTGTTGTTTTTTCTTGCTCCCGTCCCAAACAAACAAAAACATAAACGACAAACACGTTTAGTTCACAGTGGACCAGCTTTCAGCTTCCCTCTAAATCCGCGATTTGCATTGGTGGTTTGGAGCTGCTGAGGACGCTACGCCGGGGAGTTCGCGGGGCCAGAATTCGTTGGAAGGGTTGGCTTCGCGAGACTTCGCGGCAAGACTGTGGAATCGCCGAGTCGAGTGGCTTCTCCCAGGCTACGCGCGGACGTTTCTTCCACAAACATCTCTGACGTTTGCGCTCTCATTTAGTTGAACCAAGTTGAGTCTTTGTAAAAGTGGGCGATGAAAGGCGGTAAGAGAGGCATGGCTGGGCCTCGAAGGGGCGCAGCATGGAAGTTGGACCGTGCTGGCTTGGAGGAGGCTTCGCAGAGGCTTCGCGAAAACGGTCCGTCGTTTCCAGAAAAAACTGGGTCTGAAGCGCACGGTACTCTTCCGGTCGTCCAGTCGTCTTCCCATAAACTTCCGGCAGTCTGAGTCTGACTGTAATCTTCCTGTAGTCTTGCCATGGTCTCCCGGCAGCCATCTGAAAGTGACTCTGAGGATCAACCTTTGGCATGCTACTGCCATGAAGGCACAATAACACACAATAACTACGAAGTGGCATCGCAAGGTGGCTTTGCCTCTGTCAATGTTACCTGGCTTCGCGGGGCTTCGCGGCACACAGTGAATCACACAAGTGCCTTCCCGGACCTTCGGGAGTATCATCCAAGAAACAACGCTACTCTTCTCCTTTTGCAAGAGCCAAGGGAGGGATCTTAGGGGGTCGTCCCTTCTTGTCCGGTCCATTTTCGAAGGGTGGGCTTGGGGTGGGTTTATGGCCTAAAGTTTAGGGTGCGTTCAGAGCAGGTGTTGGTCTAGGGTGGGCTTAGTTTTTCGGGGTAATGGGGGTTGTTTTAGGGTGGATTTGCGTGTGTTTAGGGTGGGTTTGGCGTGGTTGGTGGGGTCAGGGCTTAGGTTGGGTGTGGGTTTAAGGTGGCTAGTTTTGCTGAGGTAGGTAGGCTTGTTGGTTAAGGGCGGGGTGAGCACTTCGGGTGGGTTTAGGGGTGGTTTTAGAGCTTCGGGGGCGGTTTAGGGTAGGGGGGTATGGAGGGGGGGGGCTTAGAGTGGGTTTAAGGCGAGTATAGTGTGGTTGAAGGCAAGTATAGGGTGGTCTTAAGCTTAGGGTGGCTCTAGGGTTGGTTTAAGGGGATTTAATGTGGGTTACTAGGTTAGGGTTGGTTTAGGGTGGGCTGAAGGGCGCTTGCTCGATTGAAAAAAAGTTGCAACCCAGCGGGACAGCACATCCTTAAATCCAATAATGCGCCACACATAGGGTGCCCCCACTAGAATGGTTCTCAGAACCCTTCCATGAAGGTTCTGAGTAGTTTTCCTGGGTGGGGGGGGGGATCTTGTGGCCGCTTACCAACCAAACTAGGGCGTCCGAGGAAAAAAACAAACTTCGAACCCTTTGGCTTTTTTCCGCCAACGCCAAGCTTTGCCTGCCATGGTGCCTTGCCCAAGGTCTGGCCTACCTTCACCTGGTCCCCGGCTGCCACATCCCAGTGGAAGCCCTTGGGGCTCTCGAAGACCAGCACCACAGTAGATCCCATGCCTGCATCTGTGTCCAGGTATACCACCCGTTCCTCAAGAGTCTATTGCTCTGTGCAACTGTGGATTTGCCCTGGTTGCTTGAAAGGTCCTTTTGCGAAATCGAGATATCCCAAAGTCAGTGGCTATAAATTGACCGGCGGTACAGCAAACTCAGGACAACAGGACATGAAGTCATGTGTGTTTAGGTGTTTCAAGACAAGGGCCACAAAAGCCCAGGCAGCGTCCAATTTGAGAGGAGCTTCATAGATGGTTTAGTGGTTTACCCTTGGGATATCTGAGTCGAGGATTGCCTGGAGAGGCCAGGTCAGGGCAAGGCCCGAGCAACGTAACATGGCCCCCAACCTTGCGGGGAATCAGTTTGATGCATTGTGCTTCAAACAGGCTGCCCTCATAGGGAATTCGATCAATCTGTCATGCTTACGGACATCGTTGTGCTTTCTTGAAAAGCATGGGGTCCAACAAACTTCTGCTGTATCAGGCATGCTGCGGTGAACCAAACAAGCAAACTAACAAATGCACAAAAAACAACTCATGAGGAAACCGCACGATCAGTTGCAGGAAATCACTGGCCATGATAATTGCCACTCGCAGGCGTGGTGCGGAAGACCTGTGCAAGCTCAAGCTATTCGCCGAGTGTCGAAAGCCACCTACGGGGTCGCCGGGGGAAAGCTTGATGTCATCAGGATACAACCTGAGCACCGTCAAGTACAAAGATACATCAATCTTGATGGAAGTTCATGCGCCAAATAGACACGCTTCTTGCGCTGGAGCAATCATTTGATGGGCTGGCACCCCATGTTCATATTCATATACCGCGCTTGAACAAACGCAGCACACAGCAGGCTCTCATGTGGATTGGTTCATAGTTTGTCCGTGAGCACAGTCGAAGGCTCTGTGTTGCTCGCTTGCTCCATCACATGCCACCACACTGGGCCTAAACCCCACAAATTGTGTTATGAACACATGCTTGAAGGGACATGAACATAAGGACATGGCAAACAAATTGAGGATAGCTACCTTTTCGACCTCTGTAATTGTTGGGCAACCAAACAGTTTAAGCTCCCAACATGACAAGCGGCTTCTGAGAAATGTCTCCTCCACAGTGCACCGCAATGTCGCGGAGACGGTTTGTCTTCAGCTTCCTCAGTTGGCCAGCAAGCGTCATGGCCGTCTCAAAACAGATGCGCCAAAGCCATAACAGTTGCAAGTCCTAGCATACAGCCAACTGCGCAAAGCATGAGCAAGCAAACGCCAACACCACCACGACCACCACCACGACCACGACCACGACCACGACCACCAGCATCACCAGAAGCCCTATTCCAAACGAACATGCCAGTCTAGGCCGGAGATTCTCATCGAAGTCTAGAAAGATGTTTCCGATATTCGCTGCCCCCACCGCTGCCAGGCTCATGAGCCCGAAGCACCATGACCCGCTCAAAATGACCTCGGCCGTCCGCCAGGCACCGACTGGTGAATCAGGATTTGTACTTGGGACATGACGAGGAACCGCTCCCTTCAAGGATTGCCAACTCTCTGGGTACCAGCCCCACTGCAAAAACACACATATAAAAATATGATCCGGGTTGCCGAAGAGCAACGCTAGTGGTACAGGGCCAAAGTGGGTGAAAGAAGTCTTGGTAAAAACATATATTATGGGAAGTGATTGGAGCCCATCTCATGCTCACACAGCCAAAGGCATTGCATCGAGCGAGCAACACTTCAGAAACATATATACCAGGAGCAAACCGCAAAATGAGCTGTCAGATCCTGGAAGCATGAGCATGGCATGTGCAAAGCAGAAAAGTGTCTGCGTGTTGGCCTGACTCCGCGATGCCAAAGACAATTGCAAGCACAGGGAAGCATGGGCCATCATGCCGGAGCATTCTTCCGTGAAACAAAGGAGGTTCTCTTAATTTCAAGGAGGTAGTCATGCCACATTGGGGAGTCCATTCATGGAAGTCCCATCGCCGAAGCATCATATGAGTCGAGCTGCTCGCTCATTGACTGCCAGCACATCGTCGAAGTTCTCCAGGAAACGGGGTCTCACCGGCAAAAGTTCCCCGCAGAAATGCCGGCCTGCCAGTTTTAACCAGCAAAACCATTTTGACTCAGTAGTTGGCTTCCTTTTTGGCTTCCCTTTCAGCCCACCAACAAAAAGAGCCCCCTTGTGCTTCGGCTATTGAAATTACTTAGATCCCATTGGAACTGGGAGGTCCGACTGGACAGCTGCCAGTCATCCACGAAACCGATAAAAACAAAAAAAACAAAAAAACCTTCCAAAGCCCACATGAAGCATCGCCCATGGCCTTTGTTGAAGCTGAGCGCACAGGGGCTGTGGATCCGGTGGTAGTTCCCAGGCGCAAGGTACAGCACGGCATAGTGCAGCTCAGAGGTCGGCTGCGCAGCTTCCGTTGGATCGAAGCCAAGAAAGGAGCGGACGTTGTAGCTGCTGCCCTGCCATGGGCTGAACAGTTTGAGCGGCGCTGATCCCTCAAACATGCTAGGCTGGAATTAGGACCCCAGCAAAAAAATGTCTTTTTTGCCTGGTGAGTGAGTGGAAAACAAAGAGGACCCCAAAAAAGCAAAACAAAAAAAATGGGAGCTAATTCTGGGAAGTATACAAGGTCTTAATGCAGTCGATTTGCCCACGGGAACAGCATCAAGGAGTGTCGCCCCAGATTCCGTCACAGCGGCAAGACACCATGTGGCAAAGACTATATCTCGAAAACAAAGACCACACCACCACTAAACTGTGCTCAGTCAAAACAGCTTTGGGGCGGAGCACATAGACTGCGTGGATTGTTTCAGCGGCACCGCTAAGATTAAAAGCTTGCCGTCTTGATGGCCCCTTAGCTTGTTTCGAAGTACCTGGTGGCCATGGTCAGCCACATTAACGGCGTCTGGAAAGCGTCCGCTTCTCGCAACTTCAGCTGCAACCTTGACCAGTCATTCCTTCGCAAGGAAATGCGACCCATGGCACCTTATACAAGAAAACGGGCACCGCTCGAGAAACGCGCGGTGTATTTGCGGGGACTCGGACCGCGGCTTTCGCCTTCACCTGCTCCACCCGCAAGTTCTCCGGGGTGATCTGCCCCAGCACCGTGACCGTGCAGTCCACGGGGCTAACTAAGCCCTGCGGCACATCTGCGATCGGCCTGACTTGGAACGTGCCGACCTCAAAAAGGGTGCCCTCACAAAAACAAACCTAGATGGGTTTGTTTCTTGAGATTACCCTCTTCAGCTTGCTTTAGCAGGAAACTAGCAGGAAAGCAAACATACGCCTGGTTGCAGTAACGACCCCTCTGCAAGTTTCACTTTGTGTGGGTCAAATGGAAAAATCGCGGTTTCCCAAAAAGTGCAAGTCCACCAACAACAGCATGGCACAGCATGGCTTGATTCTGGCCTTTGCCAACCGAGATGTCCGCTTGCACTTGTCAGGTAGCCATGTTGGCCCTCTTGGAAACATCGTGGGTATGTGCCATAAATTGGGGGACGGGTCCCCCAACAATGGATCGGTTTTCCCGGTTGCCCGTTTCCCAAGCAGCAGAGTCGATCTGCCGAGCTGTCCCAGATCTGGCCATCGAATCATTGGCCGGGCCTCGCACCCTCCACCAACTTCCGGGAGAAGAAGTCGTTGAAGGAAAGGAATGCGTCCAAGGGATACCTCACCTCATCAAGCTGGGCGCCATACCTGGCTCAAGCAACTCAAAACAAACAAGTGGCCCATAGTTAGTTGGAAAATAATGCCTTCATAAACAACTGATTCAGGTTTCATGGTTCTTAGGCGGCCAATCAATCAATCAATCCCTTGAGCTCGTCGTGCTCCAGATTGGCTATTGGCACCTTGGAGGCATATTTATAGCAGAATCTAAGGGCAAAACAACAGGGAGTACGGGATTGCACATAGAAAGGGATACCGGTTCCTTCCCACCGAAGCATTGCCAAGATACGCCCACGCAAAAAGCCCGTAGAGTGGGCTCCGCAGTGCCACTGGGATCCGTGTCTCCATCAAAGCACCTGCCCACCTTGAACGCATTCGCCCGAATAAGACTCTCAGCCAAAACAGCGTGTGGGGAGCCGTGATGTCCGCTGGGTTGCCCACGATCTCTATGCATTCCTGGCATGTGAGGTGGTGCATGAAACTGAGCGAGATGGAAGGATGTGGGAAACTGCCTGTTGCCATCTCACGCTATCCATGCTGGCGCCAAAAAACAGCTGCCACACTAAGGCCTGCTTTTTGGCGAATTCACTGAAGAGGTTTGCTTTGCAGGCCCGCAGGTAACAATTGCCTGGAAATTCGGCAACCCCCACTTTGAACAAGCCTTGAACTTGCTCTCCAAGGTGTAGGTGGTGAACGCTAGCGCACTGCTGAGGTACGTCAGCTGCCGGGTTCGCTTGGGGACCTCTGACCAGCGAAAGCGGCGAATGGCACGCCAGGACAGCTTCATTGGCAGCCAGTCGCAGCGGGCAAGGCAATGACGAGTGTCAGAAAGGATGCATTGAATGCTTGTGGGTACCAGTGAATGCTTCGTTTGAGGCGTTCTTGCCTTCACAGTGCCGGATCTTCAATCTGGTTGTTGCTTTAAGTTGTCAAGGTGTCTCACTAGCGGATCTGCTGCACTCATTATTCTGGGCTTCTTTGCAAAACTGTTGTTGGTTGGCAACAATTGTCAAAAGACTGGCCAGCCTCCAGTCTTTAAGAACATGTGGACATTGGTGTAAAAGACTCCAGTGGATCATCCGTCGCTAGGTCCAGCAACTTTGACCCCTTCCCATGTCTCAGCTACATGGAGCCCAGGCCGGCGATGCATTTGGACATCAAGCTGCAGCTGGACTGCACTCCAACAAACTCAAGGAAGCTTGAAGCTACTGAAGGCAAAACAACCTGCACATGCCACGTGTTGAGTACAATGCACATGAGCTGGCAAGGCATGGCATGCTCAATGAAAAACAAAGCACAATGACAAGTTGCATTCGATCACGAAACTGCAGGCTTTGACCTGCTTAGTTGCGACGAAAGCAAAATGCAACCTGATTTGCCCACATTGCCTAGCAGTGGCATAGCTCTCATTCGGACCAGAATCACCAAACATGAAAGAAAGCTCAGGAAAACATGAACCTGGGACCCTTGGGCTTGGGAATGACAAGGTCATTTTTACTGAGAGCCAGTTGGCCAATCCTTCTCCATACATAGGGGGCGGTTTCTTGCGGAACAGAAGCGAAGGATATTGCGGATTACTTTTGAACAGCGCCATTGCCCTACTGTGTATGGACGAAATCCTTCACCACCTAAAAATCTCCGGAATGATTCCCCTGCAAACACCGACAAACAAATGGTTTCCCTTGGCTTCAAAGTGGTGCGGACGGATTTTGTCCAGCCACAGTATGGGATTCACAGGAGGGGTGTCGCCCAACTAGTGCCTGAACCCGTGTAAGGTTGGCACTTGCAACTATCAGTCACAGGAAACTCCAGCATCAGCCTGAGGCCCTGGCGACAAAGGCGCCTGGCGCCGTAGGTTGCCCAAGCGCAGCGAGAGCACAGCATCGCTGGGAACTCCTTCGGCAGCCTCCACGAGGACCTGGCATACACTTTCGGGCCATATCCTCACACACTTCCCGAGTGGATTGGCTAGAAAAAGCTCAAACCTGGTGTTTACCACTAAAAAAATCAACCGTTTAATGTCCAAGAACTCAGGGAGTGAGTTGAGCTTAACTTTCTTGGGGCCATGATTTTCTAGGCCCATTGGTGCAATATTTGGGGAATTTGGGGATTGCGGGTTTAAATTGATTTCAGGGGCTCGCGAACACAGAGCTTCTTGGCGGCAAATGGTACTCTACTTCGGCACTTCATTCAGCCGGCGACGCCAGCAACACCCATGCAAGTCCAGTGAAAGCCCCGGCCTCCATGCAGCCAGCTGAACGCTGTGATGTTGATGTCTTAAAACCCTTTAGAATGCTCCAAAGTCATGGGCAACTGCAGGCAGACTTACTGCAGGCAAACTTATCTTTGCACGTTGCTGCATCTTATGCTGCGTAGCCGTAGCTTTCTTGCAGCATCTGTGCTTCGATGCTGACACATTGGGCTTCCAGGCTATGGCTTGAAGTTCGTACCCACATGCTGTCAACTTGATTTTGCAACGATGTCGCCCGAATGTTGTTGCGTGCTTGTTCACACCTGAGTGCTGTATGCAGGTCTTTGACCGAGCGCTTGAGCAGTGAAACGAGCGAACAACTGAAAGTACGCAAATGTGTACACCCAACGCCAAGTGCTCAAAAGATCTACACGAATAGTCAACACAGCCTCCAATAGAGCGGCCAGTGCCCATTCTCTTCGCATAGAATTTCTTGATTCTGGTATCGGAAGCTCATACCTGCGTTTCTGATTTGATTTCGCCCGCGTCCTCGCAGATCTTCCTGCTAAAAAAGGGGCCCGAGCCACGCCAGTGCACGCAAGCTATCGAGTGCTCACTTTATATTGCCCGAGGTGTTGCGAATCACCAGGTTTTAGCCAAACAACCTGGTGCTTCTTGATACGGACTTCGTTTCTGAAGCCAAGCTTGCAGGTTTTCCAGGTCCCAGTGCTAGATCCCAATAGCCGTGATGCCCTTGCTGCACTAAGTCGCAATCTCAGTCCCTGCAAGGCTGGGCTTGACATCATGCTACATCGCGGCCCAGGAAGCATGCGATCATCCCGGCCATCGGTTCAGGGACTAAGCTACCTTTGAGTCAGCGCCGCTCCTTCTTTTTTTGACCTGCCTCATGCTCGCAAGACCTCGCCCACCAGCAAAGGATTGAGAAGTTCATCAAACAGTGCCCGCCAAGGGACATGTCAAGGCCTCTTTACTGGCATGCTGTTGGATAATTATTGAACCACTTTCATGTTCCAACTCGCACTTTCCGCTTTGGCAATCCAGTTCCAAGCGTTTCTTAATGTTTCTTAATTGATTGATTAAACAAAATATTGGGCCTTGCAAGTGGATCAAGATTTGGATTGGTTTCTCAACCTGGCCGCCTAAGGGCCGGACCCTAGCATACGTCAGCCCAGAGGCCACGGTCACACCCGCGCTGAGCCAAAGCATCGCCAAGCTGCCTGGGGTGTCGCATGGCAGCCATGAAGCTGTCGACACCCAGTCTGGCAAATCTGCACCTGACCTCTTCTGAGTAGGCTGGCTTTGGATACTCAGAAAAACTTGTCTGAGGAATGTCTGAGGATGTCTGAGCAAAACGATGGAGGTGCAATCGCCAGGACAAGACCGCGCTACGCTGAACAAAGCACTGCGGTGCACATTGCTCAAACTCGCAGCGCTGCGTGAACCCCCACAGTTGGCTGCCAATCACAGGCATGCATGGTGACAACTTCAATATGACAACGTTCACTATCGGCGCCGGCCTGCATACAGCATGGATGCCTTGGCATGCAACTCGGATGCAAACAGCCCTGCAACTGAAACTGAAGCGTGAAACGAAGCTGAGTAAGAGAGCCATCCTGCAGCCGAACCACCTGACTCTTCTTGTCTTCTGTCTCATCTTTTGGATGCGCACCTGTGCACAAATGCAGCACTCCCCCACATAACGAACAGCAGGATTCGGAACATGAGCTCCCAGAAAACTGCAACGAATCCCAGCCTAGCGCCAAGGCAGCCAGCAATCCTTGTAAAGCAATCATCTGCAATGCCGCCTTGGCCTTACCTCAGCTTCAAATATCAAGGCTCACGGCTAGCTACATATGTCAAAATGGTGGGACCCCAACAGTAGCCGTTTCTCTCTTGGCTTCCCTTCAAAGTCACTCCAACAAGAGCGAACAAGAGAGTACCCTCAAAAACAAACGCAGACACGCAAAACCGCAAGACACACAAAACCATAGACACGCAAACGCACAGACACACGAACAGGCAGACAGAAAGGCAGGCAGGCAAACAAACAGCCAGCCAGACCGACAGACACAGAGACAAACAAACACATAGACATACACATGCAAATATACATGCACAAACACACAAACACTACCCACACACACCACGCACACACACACACACAGCACCCACCCACGCACACACACACACACACATATATATATATATATATATATTGTAGAAGCTTGGAGACTCGCCTTCTTACACTAACGGCTCGTAAGCGGCAACTCAGCTGGACTGGGGAATCCAATGTTGGAATGATGCAGCCCAGGCGCCGTGCCAGGCTACTGACACCTTCGCCTGCCAAATGGAATGTTGCTGTTGCTGTGGGCTATAACTTGACGGGGAATCACACGCATCCATGCCATCAGTATATCCCGCATGCATATGATCCACGCTCATTGTATTGGGGCGGTCGGATTTGTGCAGCGGGGAAACAGCGACACCCAACGGGCCCCAAACCAACTGCTTCTTCCGAGCTGGTCAAAGTGAAAGGGGAATAGCAGAAGGCAAAGGCGCCTCCGGCCGATACTTCTGTGACCACTCTCGCAGAGAAGAGACACCCAGCTCACGAGCAAGAATCAGCGCAGCTGGCACAGTAACCTCGATTGAGAGGCTGCACTGCAAACATGCTTGCGCCTCAGCTGACACTAGTTTCTTCACATTTCCAAAGCACTTGCTGGTTCAAATGTTGAGTTCAACAACCAGCTCATGCACAATTGTACTCAGCTGCCGCTAACGTTGGTGTGGTGCATCTTCCTCCTTTCACGCCAATGCAACTAGCATAACCTGCGAATCGCCTGTGTCAGAGATTATGCCAGGCAGCTGCCGGGCTAGCGACGTGCTCCACCAAAAGCACCAGCGTTGTGGAGACTAGCATCTTATCCTCCGTGGGATAAAAGAGTGTTTGGAAGTGATCCTGCCGAGCTGGTTGGCAGGCAGCATCGGTTCCCCCCCCCTTCAGATCTGCAGAACGGGCAATGGTTCTTGTGCCAAAAAGCATTGGGACTACAGGCGCAAGCTGCTCAAGCCAAGCTCGCAACACAACCGCTGCAAACCAATGCGATACGACACACGCACGGCTGGCAGTCCGCCAGTGGGTCCAGCAGCGCTCCCAAAGAGCTTTGTTGGCCCCAGCGCCGCGCAAGGTACCCATCTAGCCAGTCCTTGCCGTTGAATCACATGGCTCGGAACTGGCTCAAGCAAGGCAACTTTACCTGCCTGGCAGGAAACAACACAATCAAACATGTTGGGCATCGTGCGCTTCAAAGGCCAGCATCACACTAGCCTGGCCTGGCTTACCAGGTGGGCCGCCTACCAGCGTTTGTTGCATGTGCTTGAAGTTGATTGCGGAAGTGCCAGCTGCGTGCACTCTGAGTCCCCAATTCTTCGCCAATCCAGTTGGCAGCATGCCATTGATACAAACGTAAGCAAAGCATATCGTGGTCTTAAAAGCAACGGAAATGCTGAATCTGCAAAAATATGTGTTAAACCGAGAAATGTTATCAGTGACTGATTTGGGTCCGAGTCAGTTTGATAGCTTCATTTGTGGTTCCAGCCCCCCCCCCCCGTCCGTCACGGCAGCGGCGCCGAAAAGGCCGGCTGCCACGCCTGGTGCTGGGACATACCTAGGGCATGGTGCAAAGGATTAGGCTACAGGAAATTCTGCAGGAAAACAACTTATTTACGGGGTTTTGGGGCCATGTCCAGTAGATATCCTGCAACTAAACCTTTTCAATGGTGCAATTGCAAAGGCATCAACAGCCAGTCGACCTCCGCTCCCTACCCCCTAAAGCATTGAGCATCATGGGGCATCACTTTCCACACGTCCAAGCATCTTGACAAAGGCAAGCCCGTATCATTGAATCCGGTTTTTAGCCTGCGCGATTAGAAGCTCAAACACGACTGCATTCCTTTCTCAATTTACCCTGAACAGCAGCCGTTGACCTTCCCAACAGTTTGACAAAGAACTAGCTGCCGCAAACTGTCTGGCAAACTAACTGGCTTGGCTGATGTATCCCTATCTGCTACCATTCTTGCCATCTTTGCTGCCACCATCCACAATGCCGCCAGATCTGAAGCCTTTATGAAACCAGCCATTGCAGGTTCTCATCCCCTCTCGGCGAATTCAGTCTGAAAGAAGCGGGTTCGCAAGCATCGGCACAAGAACTGCACAAAGTCAACACCAAACAAACATGTTCTTCACACTTGACTCATTCCGACAGCGCGGGGCACAACCAACTCAACTACATCAACTTTGCAACCGAAGCCCCCCGACGTGGTCCCGAAATTCAGAGAAGCGATTGACTTTCTTTGAGCGTGTTCAGTCTGCGCCAGAGGCTTCCTCTGGCGCAGACTCCCCCAAAGCTGAGCAAGTCCTTTCTAGAAGTATTCATCGAGGGATGCTGGAACATGACAAGTGGCACCCTTGGAGACTCAAATCTGGGAGATCCGGCCAGGCGCCGCTGCAAACAAACATGTAGGCACAGCCCCTAATGGCAGAGAAGTCTTCTTTTATTGCCGCGAGACTCGCTGAAGTCCTGCAAACTGATTGGCAACATCTTTTTAACTTGTCAAAACGCTGTAGGATTTCTCAAGTAATGCGGGGGTTTGTCCATAATGAGTTTCAAAAGCGAGTACCTTCATCTTGAAGG